TATATATATATATGTATATATATATATGTATATATATATATGTATATATATATATGTATATATATATATGTATATATATATATGTATATGTATATATGTATATGTGTATATGTATATATGTATATGTATATCGATGGTCTCGGTCGCAAACTGTCTAACTCCGAAAATGTAAATTTTACAGGAGAGACAAAAAACTGATTATTTCCTTCTCGATCGCTCTAACGCTAATTTTTTTTAAAGATATCTCCGAAGAAACTCTCTACCGACTATACTGTAGCGTTTTAAAATGGGTTTTGTTGATATTTACAAAATTATAGCAGGTTTAAAAAGATAGACGGTTTGCTCGGTCTAAAATTCTCGGTGCAAACCGTCTATCTGTGCGCGCGCAGACTTAGCTGTTTTGAGCCGAGAATTTCGGTCTCAGCCGCGTTCGTTCGTTTTGTCCAATGAACGTGATTTACTTATGTTTATGTTTTTAAGTTATAATTAACACTTCATAATATTTAGATTATAGTTTTGGGCTCATATTTTAATTATTTGAGTTTATTCTACATTATGGGGTCAGTTTAATTTTATAATAGAGAGGTTTTAGTATTGCTTTATCGCTTTCGACTGTTTATTCATTATGGCTGTATTTAGCACTTGACTTGTTAACTGTTGAGGGTTATGCTTTATTTACTACATCTTTCTATTCTCACAGTTTATTTTACTAAATCTGGTGGGTGCTGGGCTTATAGAATGATAATAGTAAAAACAGAAACCTTATTGTCAGATATATTATGAATGAGACATAACACATTAATCACATTAATAATGACTTAATGTTTACTTATTTTACAAAAATTTAACACATAAAAATGTGTTTATTTTTAAAATTTATTCTTTGAATAAACGTCACATAAAGACAAATTAAAATGGCAACATATTTTTAAAGTCAGGGAAATCATCATAAAAAGGTGTGTTTATGACTTGCTTTTAGGTGCTCAAATATGACAGCTTTTATTTTTTTTTCTGCTCTTGTACAACTTGACAGGGGCTACAGATGAGATCATAATCTTACGACCCTAGCTTAGCAAATTCCAGCTATCTGCTAATTCACTTTGAAGTAGACAGTAGCATCAGGCTTGTACTGCAGTGCACGAATATCTGTCGCTTTGAATTCTTGATAGGTCTGACTGGTCTTTTGAGATCGGCTGGTCTCTTGTATGGTAAGGCTGGTCTTTTTGAGAGAGGTTGGTGCCTATTGTCTGTTATGTGAGGCTGGTCTATTGTACGTGACGACTGGTCTGTTGAGAAAGGCTGGTGTCTTGTATGGTAAGGCTGGTCTTTTTGAGAGGTTGGTGTCTAATGTCTGTTATGTGAGGCTAGTCTATTGTATGTTACGAGTGATCTGTTGAGAAAGGCTGGTGTCTTGTATGGTAAGACTGGTGTGTTGAGAGAGGCTTGTCTATTGTAGGATAAGACTAATCTTTTGAGAGAGGCTGGTCTCTTTTATGGTAAGAATGGTCTGTTGAGAGAGGCTGGTATCTTGGAGGGTAAGATTGGTCAGTTGAGAGAGATTGGTCTTTTGTATATTACGACTGGTCTGCTGGGAGAGACTGGTCTCTTGTGAGTTACTGGTGCCTTAATGTTACGACTGGTCTGTTGTGAGATGGTGGTGCCTTTACGAATTGTCAGTTGACAGATGCGGGTGTCTTGTATAGTAAGACTGGTCTGTTGAGAGAGACTGATATGTTGAGAGGCTGGTCTGTTGAGAGAGGCTGATATGTTGAGAGTGGCTGGTATGTTAAGAGAAGCTGATCTGTTAAGAGAGGCTGGTATGTTGAGAGAGGCTGGTCTGTTGAGAGAGGCTGGTCTGTTGAGAGAGACTGATATGTTGAGACAGGCTAGTCTTTTGAGAGAGGCTGGTCTGTTGAGAGAGGCTGATCTGTTGAGAAAGGCTGGTCTGTTAAGAGAGGCTGATCTGTTAAGAGAGGCTGGTATGTTGAGAGAGGCTGATCTGTTCAGAGAGGCTGGTCTGTTGAGAGAATCTGGTATGTTGAGAGAGGTTGGTCTGTCGAGAGAGGCTGATCTGTTAAGAGAGGCTGGTCTGTTGAGAGAGGCTGGTCTGTTGATAGAGGCTGATATGTTGAGAGGCTGATATGTTGAAAGGCTGGTCTGTTGAGAGAGGCTGGTCTGTTATGTGGTAAGACTGGTGTGTTGAGAGAGGCTGGTATGTTGAGAGAATCTGGTCTGTTGAGAGTGGCTGGTCTGTTGGGAGAGGCTGGTCTGTTGAGAGAGGTTGATATGGTGAGTAAGGCAGATCTGTCGAGAGAGGCTGATCTGTTAAGAGAGGCTGGTCTGTTAAGAGAGGCTGGTCTGTTGGGGGAGGCTGGTCTGTTGAGAGAGGCTGGTCTGTTGAGAGAGGCTGGTCTGTTGGGAGAGGCTGGTCTGTTGAGAGGTTGGTCTTTTGAGAGAGGCTGATCGGTTGTGAGAGGTTGATATGGTGAGTAAGGCAGATCTGTCGAGAGAGGCTGATCTGTTAAGAGAGGCTGGTCTGTTGGGGGAGGCTGGTCTGTTGAGAGAGGCTGGTCTGTTGAGAGAGGCTGGTCTGTTGAGAGAGGCTGGTCTGTTATGTGGTAAGACTGGTGTATTGAGAGAGACTGGTATGTTGAGAGAATCTGGTCTGTTGAGAGAGGCTGGTCTGTTGAGAGAGGCTGATCTGTTGAGAAAGGCTGGTCTGTTAAGAGAGGCTGATCTGTTAAGAGAGGCTGGTATGTTGAGAGAGGCTGATCTGTTCAGAGAGGCTGGTCTGTTGAGAGAGGCTGGTATGTTGAGAGAGGCTGGTCTGTTGAGAGAGGCTGGTCTGTTATGTGGTAAGACTGGTGTATTGAGAGAGACTGGTATGTTGAGAGAATGTGGTCTGTTGAGAGAGGCTGGTCCGTCGAGTTAGGCTGGTATGTTGAGAGAGGCTGGTCTGTTAAGAGAGGCTGGTCTGTTGGGAGAGTCTGGTGTGTTGAGATAGGCTTGTCTGTTGAAAAATTAATCATAAAAGCATTTACTAAAGACAACTAACCATGTCGTTGAACATGTACGCCAAACATTTTGTAACCTGCCATAGAAACATTTCTTAACACGTATCTAAACCCTCAATCTAAAGCTAGTAGTGAATTAATTATTAAATTTATTGCACATTCTTGTGGAAATATAATTCGAATTATAATGTTTTGATTGATATTTAGATTATAGAATGAAGATCTAGTTTCAAAGCATTGTGTTAGCCTAAAAAATTGTAAACAAATCAGTTTGGTTATTGATAATCTGGAAATAGGCTATATTAAACAAATATTATTTGTTTATTATTCTTTAAAATGATAAAATGTAATAGAATAGTTGAACATAGTTAATCAAATATCCTTACCTTTAAGTATTGTGACTGCTGTGCTGTAAAATTGTGTGATTGCGGCGTGCGACTGCGTTACGGATCAAAAATGTACTGACAATTATAGCGATATTCGTTTTGCGCCGAGATTTTTAGCGCTAGAAATAATAGGCGGTTTGTTCAAATGATTATATCTCAATAATCATTCTACAGATTTCTCTAATATTTTCAGGCCTTATGGGGAATCATATTGGCTTTTGATTTATGTAAAAAAAAGCAAATCGAATTTTTTTGAGTTTTGCGACCGAGACCATCGATGTGTATGTGTGTATGTGTATAAGTGTATGTGTATATGTATAAGTGTATGTGTATATGTATAAGTGTATGTGTATATGTATAAGTGTATATGTATAAGTATATATGTATAAGTATATATATATATATATATATCTGTATAAATATATATATACTAGCTGCATACATGTGCTCCGCCACGGTAAATCTTTTTTAAATGTACCAACTTGGGAACAGAACAAAACAAAGAAAAACACAACGACAACACAGCCACAACATTAGAATCACCACAGAAAAACACACTTTCCCAGGTGTACGTGCCCAGAGAGAGCCTTTCCAGCATTCTCTATATTATAATTCTAAACTTTCACCATCTGTTAACATCGAAAAACAAAAACAAAAAATAGTGATTTTGAGAGATCATAGACTAATTAGAAAATAATATAAATAATCATAACATTTTTCTATTTTACTTATGAACCTTAACATATAATAATCAATGGGGTAGTAATAAAAAAAATTAACTTGAATTATTGAGAGTGAGTTGAATATTAAAAACCCGTTTTCCCATATGTCCGCGCCCAGAGAGAGCCTTTCCAGCATACTCTAAAAATAAAAGTCTAATTTCACCATCTGTTTTAATAACACAGAGAAACAAAAACAAAAAATAGTGATTTTGAGAAATCATAGACTAATACTATTTAGAAAATAATATACATAATCTTAACATTTTTCTATTTTAATTATGAACCTTAACATATAATAATCAATGCCGTAGTAATAAAAAATAAAAATTACTTCAATTATTGATGAGTTAAATTTATTTTTAAATTACCTCCCTTGCAAAAATTACCAAAAAAAAAGTTGAATTAATTAGTTTTTCGACCTACTGTTATGAAAATGTTTCTACCTTTTCTAGTAATATAAACGAAAATGATATTTGACATTGATCCTTTTAATATGTTACAGCAATGTGCGTGTATTTAATATTTTCTTTACTTTATGCAAAAGAGTAAAAACAGTGGCAACTATAAAATAACTTTATGTCGTTATATAAACAAACCCTACTCTATAATGAATAATAAGACACTGCAAATGCAATGCACTGTAAAGTACTGCATGGTGCGATGTTTACTTTTATGGTTCCAAAATCTATAGCGATGACGGAAGGACTGACACACTACCTAGCCGCTTATATTTATATATATATATATATATATATATATCAAATTTCAGTTCTAAAACTTAAAACTTTTTTTTTTACATTTTCCCAAACTTCACTACTTTGTTTAATTTAAATCAAAAAGTAAGTTATGCTTTTAAGATAGAATAATTTCTTTTTTAGGTTGATCATGCTGTTGAGGATAGTAGTACATCAAAATTTGTCAAACTACAGAAAGAGATAAGCTTGAAAAATAAACGTTTGGTTAAGGTAAAAATAACTTAATTTTTTTAAACATTAAAATGAAAGTGTGTCTTTTATGCATTGCTACACCATTCATCCAGTCTGGATGAAACTTTAGGAGATTGTTGAGTACACTTCAGGGAAGGTTTCTGCCATAAACATTTTTATTTTAATTCAGAGGTGTGAGCCCCAGGAGTAGTGTGAAGTTTGTGCCCTGAGTTCCCCAGCTGCTGTTTTATCACCTGTTATCAACAGTCTAATTGCACTAAGGGAGTAGTCCAGTGCCCTGGCATTCATGTGACAGAATGCACCCTGACTCCCCCATAAGCACTGTGGTGCCAACATTTGTTTAAAAAAGCACCAGACTCAAGTTCAGTTTTAAAATACATTGCTAGTAAAAACTAAGAACTTTATTGAAAATAGAAGGCCCACTGTCGTTGAGTCAAAGCGCATCATCATAAGAGCTAAGTGGACTTAGGGGACACACTTATTATGCGTTAAGTAAAAAATAACTGTATAACCCTACTTCAGTTACCATTTTTATTTACTGGTTTGTATACTTAAACAACTTTATGCCAAAGTAGATTTTTTTTTCAGACTAGAGGAACTATTGAAGATTATAATCAGGAATTACAATTGTTTGACATTGTTCATTTGAATCAAACTGGTGAGTCACTCTCAGAATGTTTATTGATTGCGTTTATAGTCTCAATTTTTATGACAAAAGTGTAAATACAAATCACTTTTATGACCAACAAGACACTTTCATTGAAAGAACAATTTAATTTTGGGGAAAAAAGAAGATAATAATACTACACAAATACATATTTTTCAAGGTGTACACATGGTGCCGATGCTCTGATCAAGCGGGACAGACTATTCAGGAAATAATATAAATAATCTTAACCTTAATCTATTTTAAATAATATGCTTTAATAAAATAATCAATGTGGTAGGAATAGAAAAAATTTAGAGTAGTTCATAATAAATATACACTTAAATTAATATTAACGAGCCGACCCGCGGCATATCATACGCCGCTATAGTTGTTTTTTCTACTTTTCAGTTATTCATAATTTGTGAATTCGACACTACCAACGCTGCCACTGAAAATATTTCTTTAAAACACTATAAGTAGCTCGTTAAGGACTATAACCCCCCCCCCCCCCCTCCGTTAAAGTAAACTCCACTTTGTTACCCCCCCCCCCCCCCCCCCACGTTTAAAATCGTTTCAAACTAAATTATCTGCCCTTAATAGTCGTCACTAAACCCAGCTCTGTTTGTAAACATTTAGAGTGAACCACAGCTCACCAGACCATGTAGGGGTGCGGGTGGTAGGGAGCGCGTTCACAGCTTGTTTTCTAGCGTCTCCCAGAAGAGAATTATATATATAGATAGATAGCAATATTTAGCATGAGTTGAATTTCGTTTTAAATTACCTCCCCAAGCAAAATGTAATTAATTAGTTTTAATCCCTATATTGTTATTAAAATGTATCTTTTTTTCTAGGAATCTAAGGCAGAATATTATTTGACATTGATCAGTTTAACAATGCGCATTTATATAATATTTTCTTTATGTTCTTTTGTTGATGTATGTGAAAGAGCACAACCTTTATCAATTAACTTGTAATTAGTTAAATTAGATGTGATGCAAGCAATGCATGTACTCTTTGATTTTTTAAATTCTGCTAGCCATCCCAGCCAGGCCCTGCACTGGCCTCTGTGAAAAACCTATTCGTAAAGGACAGGACTTCTGTGTTTAGTAAGCAGCATATACCCGGCATTGCTGGGGTTTTGGAAATATATTACTTTTCCAATTAAATATCTATATGGAAATATGGACGCCTAAACCTAACGCTAACTCAAACTGTACAGAATTCTCCAGTGGGAAATAATGTATATGATTTTCTCCTATATGTTTGACCTATCAACTCTGTTATCTTTGACAGAGTGCGTTACCTCTAACTACTGCTAACTGCACTATCTATGTTTAACTCTTACACACTCGAGTGACCAACTGCTAACTACCGATGCTTGGTCAGCTGAATGTCACACATGACCGGTCATCTGGCATCTCCTTTTTCATTGGTTCTCATCTGCTAGCAATTAATTTAACTCGTCTGCTTGACCTCTGGCTTTTGTACATTTTTACAAGCTCTTATTTAATTTCATTCAAACTTTCAAGATACATTCCACTTCAATGACAAGTCTATCTATTTTTTAAATTAATTACATGTTTAATAAGTCATTAAAAATTAAATAAACAGTTTCAAAACTAATAGGAGATAAGAAAATTAAATCACTCGATTACTATAATCAATCACAGAAGGGGCGATAACTAGCTAGACGTGATCACCTTAATAGTCTTGTGTGCTGTGGTTCAGGAGAATGTTTACAATGTAGAGCCGGTTGATCTAGTGAAGGTTATTAGAGGCAGCTAATATAGTTTTTAAGTGCTTTGAAACTAAAGGGAAGTAGCAGGATTAAGAACTATCCTTCAGCTTATTGTTGTCTGCAAATTGTGGTCACGGACAGTTGTTTTCCACACGGCAGATAATCGTCAAGCTAGTAATAACGTTTTAAAGCAAATATTTTTAGTCCTGTCGACTTCATGAAGTACGAATCACTAAAAAGTAGAAAATAAAACAAGTATTAAAAAAAACCTTTATAGCAACAAATTTTTAAATGCACTGGAAATGAGAAAATAAAAACTATTTACTTTCTTGAGATCTTTTACTGACAAAATCTTTTTATTAAAGAAAGTAAATTAGTTTTATTTTCTTATTTTCAGTGCATTTAAAAGCCTGTTGCTATACATTTATCATATCAAATAACTACCACCATGTGTCTTATTTTTCAATATAATTATTAATAATAACTTATGAGAACTTTAGTTTTATACATTACTTTTCAAATTTTTCAATTCTTATAGAAAAACATTTTATTGTTGTGAAGCAGCTTTGCTCTGACTTGGATACAGTTTTAAAAAATATAGAAACTTTAATAAATTGTTTGCAAAAACCATTTATCAATAACTTTATCAAGATGAATGCCTCCTACCACAGGTAATCTTTTATCTTTTTATATATATATATATCCTAATATATAATTCCCCATGTGCGCACTTCTCTCTCTCTGTCCGCAAAATATTTTCGCCGGACATCAAGTCAGAAACGGCAGCGATATATGGAGAACTTTATACGGACTTTTGTTGAAAATAATATGTTAGATGTTTTAAATGTATAACCACAATTTTATTTAAAGAAGAAAAATAAAAAATAAAGGCGTATTCGAATGTAGAAAAACAATTTTATTTATGCAATTGGAAAAGCATTAATAGATATGAAAAAGAACGCGTAAAACTGTGACGTCACTATTGCTTATACATTAACTAATGACGTCATCTGCTGTGTTTAGAATAAAAAGAAATGAACTATTTCATTCAAATTTGATTTAGAGCTATGTAAGCTATAAAATGTATACGATTTTTCTCGGCCTAAACTTAAAAAAATTATTTTATCTATTTGGATTCTAGATCTAGAGATTCTAGATCTAGACTAGATCTAAATCTACGCTACGTGGCTAAGATCTATTCTAGATCTAGATTTAGACTCACTGTAGAATCTATTCGAAAAATAAATTTCTATAATAAACTTTTTCAGGACTTAAATATTTTATAGAAATCTTTGTTTGATTAGCAACGAAACTGGCTAATTTTGGGTAAAAAAATTAATTTGAAAAAATAGGCATATCCGCGTAAGTTATTTTTTTTAAACACTTCTTTTATTCTCCATCTTTTAAAGGTACCTAATTAGCTGAGATGATAGTGTACTTGATACCACACAGGTGGTGCCGAATCGAGACACACCAAGTCAAACCTAATTTTGTTTTTTACATGTGAATCCTCCTATTTTAGACTATAAAGAAAGGAACTACTTTGGAAATCTTTGTGCAATTTGCTAATCTCTATAATATATGAAGCAAAGATGTCGGGTGCCCGACAGGGCACTTCCCGGTGCCGCAGGTGCTTCAAATTTGGCAGGATCTTGCCTTGGGGCGACAGAACACGGGGGCCGGTGCCGGTTGGCCTAAAGGTCTACGATGAGGGGGTCAAAACAGACCTCGACTGACCGGCGCCTTATATGAGCTATAAATCGAAACAAATTTGTCCACGCAGGAACCTCTTCATAACTCCTGAGGTCGTAGACCACCCTCGGGCGAATTAATTCAGCATTCAAATTCTCAATGTTTTTGAAAGCCTAAGCGAAGCTGGGCAGCATGCCTAGTATATATATATATAGCTTTGACTATAATCATATTATATGTTTAATTTCTACCTGTTTTTCTATATACGGTATGTAAAAAAGTCGATGTGGTTTGACACCATTCACCCGTGTGCCATGAAAAATTGGGGAGTCGATGAGAATATTCCAGAGAAGGTTTCTGTAAAGAAAATAATTAAAATTTGATATGGGCGGCACCCAGGAGGGTACGATTTTTGTCAATACACAATTTGGCGCCCAGAATTTTAGAGCAGCTATGTTAGCACTTGGCATCTGTTAATCGTGCATCCTGCATAGCGGGCAAGGGGTACTACTATATTCAGTGTTAAAACTTCAACAGGCACAACCGTTGGCGCCCCGTAGATTGCACGACCCGAAGCACCCCGGGCTCACTTGCAAGCACTATGGCACCTACGTTCGTTTAAAAAAAAGCTATACACTAAAGACACAATGGGCAACAACAATCGTTGACTATATCGAACCAGGTGCGTCCCCTGGCGCCCCTGCAGGGTTCGATTTGCAGCCCTGGGCTTTCCTGTGAGCGCAATGGCACCTGCGTTCGTTCTAAACCGTGCGGTAGACAATGGATAAGATAGGGCTTTACAGTCGCTCACTAAATTGAATAAGGCGTGTCAGAAGGCGCCCTGGTAGGGTGCGATTCAGCTGTTAAGAAAATTTTAGTTTCGGCCCAGAAAGGCTCAAATGGGCCGCTAAGGGCCCTGTAATAAAAAAAATTTGAAAAATTAACCAAGGTTAGATTATTAACTGGGTTGTTTCCTTTTGTCCATAAAAAATCAAAACAAGTCCGAAGCCTACAGTTCTCGAAATGATGAAAATATTTCCGTAAAAAATAACTTTGTAACGCGAGGAAATCCTTCTGTACAGTTTTGTCACTTTGCCAATGATGCAGTTAGCATCTATTTTTAGACGATCCAATCAGAAATTTAGATCGAGCATCTAATAATACACCATTAGTAATGCTTATAAATTGCATCTGTCACACTGATGTTTAAAACACGTCAAATAATTAATTTTTTCTACGTGTTCAAGAAAAAATCCTGTTGATTTGTGTTACTTTAGCGAATAACGCAATCTGCATCATTTTTGCAGGATGCTATTTGGCGCTCTGGGTTTTCCGGTGAGCATTATGGTGCCTATGTTAGTTTTAGGGTAGTGTAATCAGGGGCTCCCGAGAGCACCCCTCTATGTCCCTGACACATGGGTGGTCACCAAAGTGTGTTCTACCTCATTATTTCGATGAGTGATTAAATGTACACTCAAGGTTTTTATGGGGTAGGGTAGGGAAACCCGTGTATTTATGATCCAAGCGCAGGCATTGTTTACATTTAAATAACTCACTTTTAGAAAACAAGGTCATGCATCTAAGAATATAGAATTGGTAACACATTGATGAAACCCTTCTTATATATTTCATCAGACTTTCTTCTATCCCCGCGGCAACGTGCGGGGACGGGTATGCTAGTACTAGATATAATAATTTAAAAATGAGTGGTCATAATAGATGAGGCTGTTTGGCAGAGATACCTTGTCTCTACTGGAACTGTATTAACAGGGTAGTGAGCCAAAATTATGGGACCTTACCCGTTTGTTGGGAGCCTTATTGATGGGGTTTATTTGTAGCTGGTCCTTTTGTCAGGGTTGATTTGACAGGGCTCTTTAGTCTAAGCCATTTTATCACTGGCCATTTTGATTCTGCGCTGTCTTATTTTAAATATGTATCTGATTCTGGACTAGTTAATTAAGAACTAGATCTAGTAATTAGGTTACTAAAGTGTAAATAGCCTTGGATCCATGTAACAGAACAGCCTTGACATTTGAATTCTGAATCATAATTTTTGTTGTGCTCGAGGTGGTAGTGTTTGAGTTGCACAACTCTAAAAGAGTTTCTTTCTTAGCCCTAGTCCCTCCCTGCAGAGTATAGGGCAGCAACAAATCTTCGCCACTTCAGTTCATGCTAGGTCTTGCCAGTAGCCTGCACTTCTTCTTCCATCTGTCTCCTCCATGTTCCCAGTGGTTTTCCTCTCTTTCGCTTTCCAGGTGGAGTCCATTTTAGTGCTATTTTCTTGGGTCTTCTTTTGTTCATGCGAAGGACATGACCCAGCTATCGCCATCTTCTCATTCGTCCTTCTAAGACAATGTTGTTTAAGCCTGTCCTTCTTCATACTTCCTTGTTAAGGAATTTGGCGTCCCACTTTATCCTGAGAATATGTTGAAGGGATCTTCTTTCAAAACCTTAGCAGCATAATGGAGTACTTGTAAATCCTTATTTTAGTTCTCTGCTGTAGTGTGGATGATTTCCAGATCTTAGCAAGTCTGTTGAAAGCCTGTGCTGCCATTGCTATTCAGATGGCTATTTCTTTCATGTTGCTGCCATTTGCTGATAAATAGCTGCTGAGGTGCTTAAAGTCTTTGACTTTCTTCAATTGACGTTATTAGTTTGTCAGTTTCCTCCCATTCAAAGTTCTGGTTGTTGCAGATAGCTTCTTGAGATCTCCTTGAAGCTTTTTTTGCCTCCTCTGCCACTTTGTTTATAAACACTCCCTTGTCATTTCTTAGTTTTCATTTCACCTCTTTGGCCTTCTCACATTTTATTCAATGGCTGCTGCTTGCCTCTACTGTAGTGGTTTTGCTCAATTTAGTTTGCTCTTTTGGCTCTTTCTTTCTTCCTTCTTCTGCTATATTTTGTTTGATCCAGAGCTTCCTGCTGGGCGCTTTTTTCCCACCACCTTCTCAAAGGCTTGATAGTGGCTTGCTTAAATATTTTCCAGGTGTGTTCCACTGAATTGAAATCTTTTATTCTTTCTGTTCAGCTTCAAACAAGTTGTAGAGCGGCCTTTCTCTTACTCTTTTGCTTTGTTTGTTGGTGTGTAGCTCATGATAATGGAGGTATTTTGGATCCTGGATTCAAATCTAGCTCTAATGCAACAGACACAGGTTCCCATCCCTTCATGCTTTTGATGCTTCCTTAGTCAATAGCAAGGTTACATGTGCCAGGCCAAGCACTATAAGATAATGTTATTGCATTGTTTCACCGCCTGTGCACACCTAATTCACATAGTATTTTGATATTCCATGTTACCACGAGGACAGGTTTCTTTTGCGACAGTGGTTTGGGGCTTTGATTTTGGTTTTCCACAGTTGAACAAGGGGTGTCTCTGTAGCTTTGGCTGCAGGTTAACTGCATTGCATCATGCTTCTTCTATATGGAGCCCTCATTCTTCTGAAGACTGGGCTAATTTCAGATTTTGCAATCTCATTCTGTAACTATACTTTGTTTTATGTTAGCCAATTAGTTAGCCAATTGCACAACTGCCACCTATAGGACCAGGGCAACACATTTAGTCTATCCTCTACCCGCACAGACCTGTTTTGTTAAAGAACATTATATGCACATACTATAATTATATGTATATTTTTGTGTATAAATCTGTCTTACTTCTTGTTATATATATAACCTACATACATCTATACATGATAACGTTTGTCAATCCCTTCTAGCAATGTCAGTTACTATATATTTATATGTGTACATTTAGGCTGTAGGCCTACAGTGAATTTTTTTTTATTCTCCCACCACCCATGACAAAATAAAATACCGCCTATGCTGATTATTTATTATAGTACTTTTCTAGTTTAAACTTCTTTTCAGGTTCGCTAATGAAGTATTTATTCAGCTGGTTTTGAGTCTCAATGAACTAAGTCTACATACAGACAATATAACATGGATATCAAACAATAATTTTGTGATGTCGGAGTTGGTTAGTATTATTCAAATGTTTTGAATTTTCAAAGTTGCATGTGTTCTTTCTGTGATTGTGAAATGTATAAGTTTGTTTTTTCCTTAGTTTAATTTTTTTTAAATTGTACATCATAATATATATATATCTATAGTTTTAATATATGTCTAGTGCATTTGCATTAACCATTCTCAGTTATATCAGTAACAATTAAGTTTCTGGGTGGCACAACAGCAGATGAGATTTCTGATATAATATAGTAATATTAGTAATTTACTGTAATATAGCCTACTAGTATGGGGTCATCCATTTATGACGTCCACATTTTTTAACCCCCCCCCCCCCCCCCCCCCCATCCACAAAAATCCACTTTTTTCCTTATATGTTCAAATGCATCCACAAAAGTCAGTTTTGTTTTCGGAAACCCCCCCCCCCCCCTCCCCCCCCCCCCAGCGTGTGGACGCCATAAATGGATGACCCCTATCAGTATAATATCGATAATGATTGGCATGATTGTAAAAGCAATTAGTATACACAATATCAGTGGTTAGAAACTTAATTGTTACTGATATAACTGAGAATGGTTGACCTATTGATCTAACAGGTGAACACAGCTACTATAATTTTTATATAAATCAGTTTCTTCAGAGATTGAAACAGTGGCGGAACTAGAAACAAAAAGCCACCCCGCAAAAAAATTATTTAGGCCCCCCCCCCCATATATATATATGTTAGTGAGATAGAACACTCTTTAATGACAACCTGAGTGTCGGGGGCATTGCAAGTTTGACTGTTGAATCAAGTAGTTTCCTTGAACCCCTATGTAGGACACCCAGTTAACAGATCACAGGTGCTAAGACAGCCACTTGGGAACTCAAGGCACCATACCACACCCTACCGCCGGGGCTATCCCTCTCCAGAATTTGAACAAACAATTTCTGAAGAACACCTCCAGGAAAATTCTCATCAAATTTCCAAAGTTTCATAGCAATTGGATAAAAGGTGTAATTATTAATAATGCATAATTGATTGATAGACATTTGACACAAACCCTCACTTGCATTTTCTATACACTGACTGTAAATAATGTATTGTAAACTAGTATAAAGTAATCTGCGATGTAAAAAACAGGAATGTAATTATTATTTTGATAGTTGAAATGTCAAGGCCTGCGATCAATCTACTTCAGTTGTTTGCATCTACTTGTCTTTTGTGTCTGGCTTTTTGCATGGCCACAATTGTCCTTCTGCTTTATCACATGTGGCAATGGCATGTGACTTGAATTCTTTGACTTTTTTTTTAATGTTTTATTATTCTTTTTGTAAATGAGGATTTTTATCTTTGTCAGCCTTGTGGTCCAGTCAGCCTTTTTTCCAACACCCCTTTTAGATTGAAAGTTATCTTCATAAATGCACTCAAAAAATTAGTTAATGGATTTATTTTTAATATTAATGCTTTTTTTTTTTAATTTGCTACTTTAGATTTTAAAATATTTCAGTTTTAAATCCATGTAATATCATAATTCATATTTTGTCTTTGCAGGAACCATTATTAGCAGAAATCCAGAGCACCACAGCTACAATTCAAACATCATTTCATACAGTATCACAGATGAGAGAAGGGATTGCACATTTTTATAAATCTCAAAAGTAACTCAGCAATGCAACAAAAAGTCAAGGAACATTTTATTTTGAAAAGGAGAAGCATGAATGTATTTTTGTTTCATGTAAATAATAATAAATCATTAAAACTCCATATTTTTTTATGTGACCAACTCTGTTTTAGCAGAACTCTCTTTACATTAATTATATAACACCATAAGAAGTGTTTCTTTAGCATATCCAGGACAAGGTTGTTTGTGTTAAATAGTTTATGACAAATCAGGTATATGCACTAGTGCAGACTTTTATTTGTATGTCCTGTGATTTCACTTCCACTATTCATATTCAAGCACTTGCTTGTGATAAAATAATAAGTACCTGCAATTAAAAATGAGTAGAGTAAATGTAACATCAACTACAACTTCCTTATATTTTTTTTTAGAAAATGGTTATCAATATTTAATTTACTTAAATTTGAAGTTTTTTTTGTCTTTAAACAAAGTGGAAACATTTTTAAAAAATATTGTTACCCTTCACTATTAAGTACTTCTCCAGCAGTAGCTCTTTTGATAAGTTGATCTTCACACCTATACCACTGTTCTTTAAGAGATCGTATGTAGCAAGTGTAGTGACCTGACTCAATGGTTCCATAGTGATTGACAACAGCAAATAATGAATATCTGCTGATCAAATATGGTAGCGCCTTTTTTATCACCATCGCCTTTTTTATCACCATCGGCATGTTTATAATTATATATAAATATATAGGCATATCAATATTAAATATCAATGTATACACACGATTTATATATCAATGTGTAATTACAATACTTTTGTTAAAGGTGTGCCACTAACTAGCTTTGGTGAGAAGTGGACAATGTGTCCATGTTTATATATAAAAAAAAAAATATATATATACCAACACATACTTATAAATATATGTTTGGATTTATATATACAAATGTATACAAATACAAGCAGTCTGGAAAGTTTATGAATAAATATATGTATGGATTTATATATACAAATGTATACAAGCAGTCTGGAAAGTTTCTGACACATCAATATGAAGTTGGCATCACTGTTATTCTTTTAGTCATTTGAGTGAGACAAGCTAGCTTAGATGATACCAAAAAATACTCCATCTAATGATGATAATATATAGCTCAAATTTTCCAACAGGTCAAATAAGGTTAGAGAGATATCATAATAAAGCTGAAAGTTATTGAGAAAAATTAATATTTAAAAAGCGTCATCCTTAGTTAAGAAACTTTTCAGGTCATTATTTTTATACATACAAGTTTATTAGCTTAATTTAACTGGGGGAAAAAGAAAAATTTCAAACTTGTTATCACAGCAAAGGTTTGAGGTTGAATGGGTATGTTGACTGTTGTAGCCATTGTTGTTGCTTCGAGATGAAGACATAAAAGGCGTCATGTCTAACTCTTCAGGAAAGGAGACAAACGTTGAAATTTTCTTGTGGTAGCCAGTGGAATGTTCAAATCGCTATTAAAGGTATTAAAATATCTTGAATTGAAATAAAACAAGTTATATATAAAAGTGATAATGGGTTTTTAAAAATTAGCAATTTTTCAGCATACCTTTAAATGAAAACATGCAACAATTGGGAGCTTTTTCATAGTCAGCTGTTTAGTAGATTCTTGATAACTGTGACATTTACTACATTTTATTTTAGCAGAATTCCCTAAGTGTTCTGTTTTTGTAAACCTAAAAAATTGAAAAAGTGATTTATTTTAAATATTAAACTTAACGTTAATGTAATGAAAAGAAAATAGGTCAAACCAACTGTATTACTAAGTTTTTAAAAAAGACTTTCGATGAAAAATTTAAAATATATTTTTTGTACTTGTAGCATTAGTGCCATTACTTTGTATTGAAAATAGAAGCAATACCAGGTTCCTAAATCAATTTTTCCTTCATCACTGTTTTACTGCAATGCACTACTATACTTATTTGTGCTGCTTGTGTATAAGCATTATCATTAAGTATTTTGGCCCATTAATAAGGCTGCCTGCACCCTATTACTATGCTTTCATGAAAAGGAGTAAGGTTAATACAGTTGAACTGCCCATACTTGTTTTGTTTGTCATTATATAATAATCTGCAAAAGCCCCTTATTTGCTGGTTCTGAGTTCTTACAAACCACATTCCAAACCAACAATACCTGTCCATAGTGACAAAGTACCTTTTGATGGATTAATACCAAGAAGTGGTGGATAATGCCAACATTTTCACTTGGCTATATTTTAAAATAAAACTAAGGGACAGTGTGGCCTATGCATAGAGCACTAAGCTGTTAACCCAAAAGTCTTAACCCGGTGAGCCCGACAGGCCGGAAAACCGGCTTCAAAATTAGGCATATATGTCCGGAAAGCGGGTTTTCCGGCCCAATGATCTAACGTCATAGTCCTAGGGGCTGGTATACCATCTTATTAAATATAATTAGCGACGTACTGAATAAAACGGCGCAAATGTCTTTTTAGTGCTGGATTATGATTCTAAAAATAGATGTTGGGGAAAGGTGAAAGTGTTTGCATTTCGTAAAATACATTGTAATCACACAAAAAAATTGGTTATTTTATATTATTTTATTATTCGGTTATAATTATTATTATAATAACAGTAAATAGATAAGTTACTCTAGTTTTGTCATTATGTTTAGTAAGTACATAAAACAATTATCGGTATATTAATATTTTATTAGTGCAAACTTTTGGTGTAGGCTACAAAATATTTTTTTTAAACAATGCCGCCAAAATGAAAAACTGATCCACAACCATCGACTGTGTACGTTTTATATACATTGCTATGTTCATACATTGTAAAAAAATAAAGAATTTCGGAATCTTGCTGAATCAATGTTTGATACTGAGCCTTGATAACGAATTTGGCTTGATTATCTCAAACAGTTCAAAAGTTATAGGCAAAGTTAGAAACAGATAAGTGAAAATTGGTTTGGGCCTGGGATCTCAGGAAATGAGAGAAATTAGGCCAGGGAGGCCCAGGCTCAAAGGGTTAAGTTCGAATCCTGGTTCAAGTCAGTAGAACGTCCCAGAGTCCACCCAGCTCTGATGCGTACCTAATGCTATTGGAGAGTTCAACTGTGGTAGCAAGAGCACAGCTGATTTTCTGCAGCTCATTGGCTGCAAGCTCCATCAAGTCATGAAGCAGAAGGGCTCAAAAAGAGACAGGAAAAGAGTTCAGAGAGCAGAAAAAAAGGCTAGTCTAGAAATCAAAAGGAGGAGAAAGGATATGGCAACGGCAAATGCTTTGGCACAGCAGGAATTTTCTGACCAAGAGGGAGGCCCTTCCTATTTATCAGGAGCTTTTTAATTATTTTTTTTCCCCATTTTCTTTTCCTTTAGAATTATTTTTACTGTCCGTGTTAATTCCCTGTTCTTTCATTTGCCTTTTGTAATTTAAAGTTGTAATGCAGTTTTAAACATATGTGATTGCTAGTCCTATCACATTTTTTTTTTAAAAATGTATGACTTTTTTGCATTTTCTCTCATTAGAATTTTCTATAAATCCATTATTTCAAACAAGCATATCCTAAAAAGTTTTTAACAGAATGCATTGAAACTTACACAGTTGTTACTACGCATAGTTACCTAAAACCGGACTAAAACTTGAAAAGATAGCATTCTTTGCTTTGATTTTACACCCTTTTTGGAAATGTATTTTGCTTTTTTGAAATTCAGTTTACTCAATAGTGCCATAATTTCAGACAAAAAAATTAAAAAACTATCTAACAGAATGCAGTGAAACTTTCACATCTATATATATAATTCTCTTCTGGGAGCCGTTAGAAAACAAGCTGCAAGCGCGCCTTTGCAGTCCCCTCTCTTCCTCTCTATTGCTACCCCCCCCCCCCCCACCACCACCCCTACATGGCCTGGTGAGTTGTAGTTCACTCTAAATGTTTACATTTTACAATCATAGAGCCGGGTTTGGTGACGGCTATTAGGGGCAGATAATTTAGTTTGAAACGATTTTAAAATTAGAGGAGGTAACTAAGAGGAGGCTGCTTTCACGGGGGGGGGGGGGGGGGTTAGTGTTTTAAAGCACATATTTTCAGTGGCAGCATTGGTACTGTCGAATTCACAAATTATGAATTACTGAAAAGTAGAAAAAAAACCAACTAAATTAAAATAGCGGCGTATGATATGCCGCGGGTCGGCTCGTTAGTTATAATACATGTCTGTCTATAATCTGAGAGAAAATTTTAAAGATAGCAATGTTTATGTAGAGTGTACAGCCTTTTCAATTACATTTTTTGGTTTTTCTCAAAACTATGTTTTTTGCCCAATATCATGATTTCTAATTAGGATATCTCAAAAACTGTTTGTCAGAATGCATTAAAACTTGCACAGCACTTATACAACTTGTTTATCTATAAACTGATAGAAGCTTAAAGAGTTATTTTTGTTTGTTTACTTTTTATGGCCTCTTAAAATGTACATCTCCCTATAAAAGGCTTTTTTTCACTAAGTCAAACGGAAAAAAATTCATATCTAAAAAAATGCTGTACTATCTGGAAATCCTTCTATCAGTTTGTTCTCTACCTAAGTCTAAATGTAACTGTAGGATTATATGTTATTATGTCTGATAGTTTTTGAGTTTTCGTATATAAAAATGTATAGAAACTGAAATTTTTTGGTGTTCACCCTTTTTCACCGCCTGTTAAAAATAAATTATATCAATAACATATCAGTATCTTTGTTTTAGATGTGTAAATGGTGTTAAATTTGCCTTTTTAAAAAAAATAAAAAATAACTACTGGTCCCCCCCTTAAGTGCTGACCACAACTTCCCTTCATATGACGAAGTCTAGAAACAAACCCTACTTCATCTGCTTAATATCGCTAGTTCTTAAGAGAGTTACCCCAAAAACCTAATTAAGATTTACAAAGTTTAAAAGTCACAGCTCATAAGTTATTGTCTTTTGAATAAAAATTTCTTTTTGCTTTTCCTAGACTTTTTGAATGTTTTAACACCTTAATTTTAATATCACAATTGTAACATACCTTTTTAAGCATTCCACTAATGATGTAGGTTCATAATTTCCCGGGCTATTTGTGAAACCTTATAAAAATAGGAAATTTAGGAAACATTATTAGCTCTTTCTGATAAATCCAGCCTAGATTATAAAGTTTACATTGACAAACTGTGCTGTAGTACAGGGACCTATTGAGCCAAGAGTACTAGGGCCAATTAAGAGCTGGCTAAGTATATCAATGTGATTGGCATATAATAAAAATTTAGTTCAGATAGATCTATAGATTTGCTAAATATATTTAAATGTACACAATGTTGGGACTATGGGAAAGCATGGTTGTAGTTGGTTTGTATTGCGCTCGACTGATAACCTGGAAAACTATTGTTTAGATCCCTGACACAAGTCTACAGGATGTTCCTGAGTCCAGTTAGCTCTGATGGATACCTGATGCATTAATTTGTTTTGCGTAATTAATTGCAACTACTATGACTTGATCAGATTATATTTGAGAGCCAGAAAAAAGTTATGAAATAATGTGTTTTTATTGTAAAATGCAGTTAAGATTGAAGCAACCTTCAAGAAATCATGAAGGTGTTTAATGAAATAAAAGTGATCAGCATACATTTTTTTCTTTTAAAAACAAATTAAATTGTGTTTTTGTCAAACTTGGGTGTTATCATTTTTCTCAACGAGTGCTGTTTTAGATATTAATATCATGATTATTTTTAACTTTTAAGCTTTCATAGGATTAATGGCTAGTTCTTTTTTTAAACTAAAAATTAGATTCTCATAAAAGTAATATTAATGTATTGAAATTTATACTTCAATATAAATTATACTTAGTTGCATCAAGAAATGCCTGGAAAGCAATGTATGTAGTATGTAAGTGTGTGTCTGTTTGTCTTTTATTCATTACTATACCTTTCATAATCCGATCGCCATGAAACTTTAGGAAGCTGTTGAGAATACTCATGGGGAGATATTTGCGAAAATAAAATGTCAAATTCGCAAATAGAATAGCAAGTGTTTATTGTTTTATATTTATTATTATATCATTCATTACAGAGTGTTGCAGACAAATATTTTGATGAGTTTCAAGAAAAAAATAAAATAATTATTAATATTTGTGCATGGAACTGAAGAGTCGCACCTCGACATTAAAAGAGTCGCAGGTTGCCGACCCCTGCTCTAGAGCAATGATTCCCAAGGGGGGAGGGGGAGGGGGGTTGCGAAGGGCTTACTGGAGGTTGCCAACTGGTAGACTAAACCGAACAAAAAACTTCTATATACAATTTATTTTTAAATGGTCATATTAAACTACAAAAGAAAGAGTGATTCCTCGAATTACCTCTATATACTTTTCTAATTTTTTATCATTTTTCCGGTTGAGCCTTTGTTTTCTCGGCTGACGCTTAAAAAAAACATGAACAGAGTATTGAAGTTTTCAGATTGTTCATAGTCATCATTTTGAGATGAGTCACCAAAAAGATATGGAGGCCTGTTATACCTGAGTTCTTTCGTCTGCATGAATCTAGTTGCAAACGCCAGAGACTTGATTGAACAGGAAGTTTTTAGGTGAAGATCTCATTAAACCTTGCATGTTGAAGATGGTGAAATTTATTCTTGGGGATTCCAGTGCAACAAATATCTCTGTCTAATAATACTATTCAGTGAAGTATAACAGACATGTCCGTAGATGTTTAAGAACAGGGGGTCGGCGTGGTCGAGTCGGTAAAGCTCAAGGTTGCTAAACCGAAAAAGTCTCGAGTTCGAACCCTCTGGCAGATGAGGCTCGTTAGCTGGGGACAGCCACTCTTCTAGGAGAGACAACTCCAAAATTAAACAACTGCTGCCTTGTAGTTTGTTCTTGGTTGGACAAAGGCTATGGAAGCAAATCCAAAAAGAAAACCAGGCTGAAATCAAGTCAATGGCCTCAGTGGCGCATAACCAGTTGACACGTAACGCTTAATTGTGTTGGAGGCGTGGTCGAGTCGGCAAAAAGCTCATGGTTGATAAATTCAAACAAAGTCTCGAGTTCGAAACCCACTGGCAGATAAATCTCGATCCCCTTCAACACTAATAATTAAGAACGAAGAAGAAGAAGTTTAAGAACAAATTTTTAATGAAATCAATCTTTCATCATTGTTTGATTTCAAATTGATGAATCAACAGACGTGAAATATACTAATTCAAATGAAATTAAAGAAGAGTTTCTAACTTGTAGTGAACTTGAAACTACTACAAAAAGTGAAGATATCATGGAGACAAACACATTTTTAGAAACTGTAGGATTGGGAAAATGGCTGTGGGGTTTGTACAGATGGTGTACCATCTATGCTTTGGTCAAAATCGGGTTTTCAGAAAAAAAGGAAAAGATTTAGCTCCCAATTCAACGAGAATCTACTGCATGACTCTCTAGTATGCCCACGTCAGCAAGACTCTTTAGACTCCATTGCTAGAGAAACTTAATTCGATAATAGTTGTAAATTATATTAAATCTGGAGCCCTAAACACTCATCTGTTTAAAGAACTGTGCATAGACATGGATTCTGATCACAAGGTTCTGCTTTTCTACAATACAGTAAGTTGGCTGTTAAAACGAAATGTGAATCATGTTTTTCAATTGAAAGATAAGTCAAGTTGTTCTTGGAGTTCTTGGAAGCGCAAGGGAACAAGACCTTTTGATATACTTTAATGACAGTAGCATACCTAGCAGATATATTCGAACAGCAGAATAGGCTTAACCTGAGGAGTTATTGAAAAGAAACAAATATTATCTCTTTTCAAGATAATCTCAGGTTATTTTTTTCATCAAAGCTGCAAAACTGGCGAAGAAAAATAAATCTTGGAAATATTGTCATGTTTGAGAAACTCTGCAGTGTGGTAGATGAATCTGATTGTGAGATAAAAACAAATTCGAAAGAGCAAATTTCTGGATATCTTGATTCTCTTGAAAGTGAACTACTATGTTGTTTCATAAGGCTAGTGGTAGTGTGTCAGTCAATCATTCCGTTCATCACTATAGATTTTGGAACCATCCCATCATGCAATGCTTTAACATTGCTTTGCATTGTCTTATGATAAGCTATTAGAGTAGGGTTTGTTTATATAACGACTTAAATTTATTTTTTAGTTGCCAGATTTTGCTCTTTCGCATAACATGAAGAAAACATTACTAAAACATATTAAACGGATCAATGTCAAATGATATTTTTGCTAAGACTCATTTTAACAGTAGGGTCGAAAAAACTAATAAATCAAAATATTTAATAATTATGTTAGGGAAGATAATTTTAAAAGAAATTCAACTCACATTAATAAAAAAAATGTGAATGCAAAATCCCAAGAGGGCATTATTACTGGAATAATATAATTATTATATGGTAGTGGTAGGTAAAACATGGATATATTAAATACTGCCTTTTGTTTATTTTATGGATAACTTGTGGTATAATAGTCGATTACTAAGTTGAATCAAGCGGTTCTGATTTGGCGCACTGGGTTAGACTGTGAGCACTATGCATTTATGTTTGCATTTAAATAGCTTAAATAGCGTTAGCGTTTGCGTTTTTGTTGTTTGTGCTTTTTTGCATTTGTGTTTGCATTGTGTTTTTGTTTGCGTTCTCTTTTGTGTTTGTTTTTGTGTTTGCGTGTTGCGTGTTGCATTTGCATTGTTTTTGTGTTTGCGTTTTTATTTGTGTTGTGTTTTCTTATGTGTTTGTGTTTAGTTTTGTTCTGTTCCCAAGTTGGTACATTTAAAAAGATTCACAGTGGCGGAGCAGGAGTATGCAGCTAGTGCAGGGGTCGGCAACCTTTTGAGACGGAAGAGCCAAAAGTTGCAAGTTACAAAATTTAACAGCTTTTAAAGAGCCACAAACATTTTTATTTCAATATTATATTTTATTAGGATTATATATATATATATTGAAATTTTTCGCAGGGGACGGACTAAAATTTCCGAGGGTCGGACACAGTTAAAAGTATATATTTTCTATATAAACTCCATTTCTTCCGGGGGGCTCCCAAGAAATGCCCGGCAGAAACACTGATTGGCTTCTTTACTTTTTATTTTATTCATGCAAGAAAACTCTTGCTTGCATGAATATAGTGACCCGATGATCGTTGGCACTCCAAATGCTAACTTCTTTACCTCATTGTAGTATCCTGGGAGAATATTCCATGCGTCCAATAATAATGCCTCAACTCGAGGCATTTATTTTAGAGCTGTTCAGTTGCGCAGCGTAACGTGCATGTTTTTCTGGACCTCCAAATCTCCTTTCTCCTGAGTTCCGTGAACTTACCACTCAACAAATGTTTGGTTTTCAAATCCAGCCAGATCATTTGAAGCTAACCAGCATCAATTCCAAATGCCTCAATGTTGATCTCATTTGTTTTTTTGTAAGAGGATCTACTATGAACGTCAAAGTGTACTTGCTTTTGTTTTGAATTGCTCAAATCACTCAAGAATCCACCCTTCATTTTGTTTATTGTAATGCTGAAGTAATTCATGTAGCATTGGTTTCATCATGATATTTTTTTTCAAATTTTTCGCTCTCTGTGTCTTCAACAAAAAAAAAGTATTTTTTTTCCCGAAACAATCAACTTTTTCAAGCAAGGCATAGACCGAGTTTTTCTTTCCTTGCAGTTTTACAGTTAGCTCGTTTAGTTCCTTTGTAATATCCACCATGAAGTTGAATGTTTTGATTCGGGATGGACAATTTAATAGAAAGGACATTGAAATAGGGAGCCGCATCTTGAAATCAAAAGAGCCGCATACGGCTCGCGAGCCGCAGGTTGCCGACCCCTAAGCTAGTGCATCATTTATACCCAAACATGACATTGTTTGCTATTTGTGTTGTATGTCCTTTTGTGTCTACATATCTTTGCGAGACTGGATTTTTACTCTAGTTAATAGAATGCAATTTCATCCAATGCATTAAAACAGTTATCAAAAGTAATTTAAATTATACTAGAAAAATCTTTTTTTGATATTTATTAATTTCCTTACTAATTTTGACAGGTAACTTTACTTTTTATAAAAGGGGGTTTGGGAACTTGTGCTCTAGAGCATTCCTGGTGGAATAGCAAAACTATTATTATAGATAGCTGAGTTATTGGGTTTCTTCTGTGAACCAGTTACATAAGTCATATCATAGTATACACCCACACAATCCAGCTCAAGTGTGGAGTAGTTTAAATTCAAAGAATAGCCATTTTGTTAGACATCACAGAAAAGTTTTATTTCTTTTTAAAAAATCAGCCCTACAGATAGAAATTTTCTAGAAAAATTCCAATTTTTTAAATCCAGACATTCTACATACACTGTTTAGCTCACAAAGTGGGGTAACTTGTAAAAATTAAAGACAAATATCGACTTGCTGACCTGGTGTTGGAGAAGAAGAGAATTCAGTAGCCAGAGACTGTGAGTTTAACTTGTTAGTTGCAATACTCTCATCTGTTATTATTGGTATACAGTGTATAGAATTCTGATCAGCTACGGCTGCTGCAGTTGATGAGGATGACAATACATGTGATGAATGAATTGATCCTGGACCAAGATCTAATGAAATGTCCCAAATGGGGTCTATAGTTGTTGAAACATTACTGCAAGAAAAGTATGATTGTTAATATTTTTCATTAGGCTCATCAGCTTTAATAAAAAATAAAATAAAATGCAATAGATATTAAATTAATGAAATATTTACACATCTTAAAAGTCAATACAATTCATGCAGTCTGGTGGGATATTATTTTTCTTAAACTGTGCTGTCTTCTATATTTGAAAATATTTGCTGGGTTGAAATTACAAGTTTAAAGCTCAATTTGGAAAAACTCAGCTTGAATACTTTAGTACGATAAAAGCTACCTTAGTATGATAAAAGGTGCTAATTTGAAGAGAAACTTACTTGCAACGTTTACAAGTTACATCAGATTGAAGACCACCAGTGAAAATTCTGTCTATTATGCAATTACAGTGATGAGGATTACTGCTGCTTACACCATTCATTTCTAAAGCATCAATATTAAAAATAATTAAAACATTTAACTCAAAAGCAGCTATTGTTTCATATACTGATTTGAAATATAAAATGTAATTCTCTGAATAATACTCTGAGCTATTTATGTTTACTTTATTTTCCTAAGAATCAAAAAGTTTCATGTGTTTTAATTGCATCTAATAAAAAAACTAAAAAATCATAAGGAGATTCTAATTTAATAACATAAATAAATAACAAACTGACCTTTGCAGTGCCTATGCAATACATCCAATGCAGCAATAAGAAACTCGTGTGCATCCTGTTGTTCATAACCGGCTAAATGTCTGGCATTTGTCCATACTAAGTGAAGCAATTTATAGGGTATGAATGGAGTTCGAGAACCTGAATAAAACTATTATAAAAAATGGAAAGTAGGAAAGTTAGTGGTTAGTAAATTTTGAGCATATTACAATAATTGTCAAATATAATGACATTCGTAATATATATGACACACTAGAACAAGTAATTTCATAGAATAAAATAATATATTAATACTACAAAAAATCATAAATATTTTAAAAAACTAAAACTTGTGTGAAACATACTATAGTGCCTACTATAGCTGCAAAATCTGTGATTTTATTTTTTTCAAAACTTTAAACACTAAAAATATTTTATATGTCATTTTGCTTTTATAATTTTACCTACATTATCAATCTTTTAATGCTACATATGCTGTTGATTTACGCGCATACGAAAAATATATAGACCTCGTTGCCATGGGGTTAAAAGAAAGTCGCAAGATAGCCCAGGGCAAATTGCACCATGCCGGGGCTTGGTGGGATGTGAATGATTATATTTAGTGAATGAGTATAATACTACTTCTTATCCATATTCTATACCACACTTTAAAACTAACGTATGGGCTATAGCACTACCAGGATAGCACAGGGCGCTAAATTGCACCCTGTTGGCCAAAATATATTAGGAGGGTTTAATCAATGCTTTACCAATAATATATTCTTGACCTTGTTTTCTAAAACTGAGTTATTTAAATGCCTGCACTTGGATCATATTTATCAGGGCACGGGTTTACCTACACTATCGCCCAAAAACACGGGATGCTGGTGGACGCTGCCCTAGCGAAATTGAAAATGATTTTTTACAGAACCCTTCCCCAGAGTGTTCTAATGAACTCACCAAAGTTTGATGGCGATCGGATGAATGGTGTCAAACCAAAATCTACTTTTATTTTTATATAACTGTATATAGAGAAAAATCGCACCCTCCTGTGGCGCCACCCTTGCGAAATTAAAAATGATTATTTTACAGAACCCTTCCAGGTAGTATTCTAATCAACTCCTCGAAGTCTCATGGCTATCAGATGAATGGTGTCAAACCAAATTCGACTTTTATTTTTTATATACCATTATAAAGAAAAAACATATCGCACTCTACGGGGCAGCACCCATGCGAATTTGAATTTTCTTTTCCGCAGAAACCTCCCAAGGAATATTCTTAACAACTTCCCAAAGTTTCACGGCGATGTGATAAGAGGTGTGGTAATCCGTAAAAGACACAGGCACACACACACATTGCTTTTTATATATATAGATAGATACCGTACATAGAGAAAATTCACACCCTCCGTGGCGCCGCCCTTGCGAAATTAAAAATGATTTTTTACAGAACCCTTCCCTAGAGTTTTATAATGAACTCCCCAAAGTTTCATTCCTATCGGATGAACGGTGTTATTGCAATTCACTTTTATTATTTTTATATACCGTATATAGAGGAAAATCACACCCTCCCATGGCGCCGCCCTAGCGAAATTAAAAATGATTTTTTTACAGAACCCTTCCCCAGAGTGATCTAATGAACTCACCAAAGTTTGATGGCGATGCGATGAATGGTGTCAAACCAAAATCGACTTTTATTTTTATATACCGTATATAGAGAAAAAACAAATCAGGGCGCCACCCCTGCGAATTTGAAATTATTTTTTTGCAGAAACCTCCGCAGGAATATTCTTAACAACACCCTAAAGTTTCACGGCGATGTGATAAGAGGTGTACTAATGCATAAAAGACACACACACACACACACACATTGCTTTTTATATATATATATATATAGATAGATGGATGGGATGGATAGATAGATAGATAGATAGATAGATAGATAGATAGATAGATAGATAGACAGACAGACAGACAGACAGACAGACAGACAGACAGACAGATAGATAGATAGAAGATAGAAATTTAAATACACAAATACTTGTAAATTTTAGAAGTATATAGAAGAATCCCTCTATCATAGGCTCTGGTATTTGGTTTTAAGTTTGCTAAAATTACCAGAACCCCAATGAAATTTCACCAACAGCTAAGCAACCATTTTTTAAAAACCCCATTCACCATTCAATTTCAATGACTATTCGAGCCATTTGTTAATTCATCCCATAAAAGGAAATTTTTGTATCAACTTTTTTAGCATATTTATTATTTAAATAGTCATGAAACCAATGTTTGTCCTATGGAGAAACAGTTTATTCTCTATAAAGTACATTTAATAGCTTATTATAGAGTTTTTATATTTGTTTTATTTTCTACTTTTTAGTTATTGTGAATTTTAATTTTTACAAACAATAACACCTTAATTTTCCCATTCCATTTGTTCTTAATTAGCTGTGTTACTCCCTACTCCCCTCAACCGACTGACTGAGCAATCACTAATACTTAATCCTACAATCTCTCTGGAAAGCTGTGCTGGAAGTGTGTCAAATCTGAATTAGAAGATTTGCCTTAATCCCACAGACTACTAAAATAAAAGCTTATAAAATTTTAAACAATCATACTAATCAGACTCTTACTTACCTCTTGGTATAATCTAGCCATCTCACAAACTAAACACTGCTGTGATTCATCAATCTTTTGACAAGCATGTTTGTCTGCCATAAAATAATCACGCAAAATAGGTGTGTGCGCTAAAGACTGCAAAATGCAGTTCATAAAGCATGTGTTGCCCAAATTAATCAAGCCTCTGAGGCCTAGAAAGAAAAAAAAATTATTCTAATTTTAGTACGTTCAAATAATGTAAATAATTGATTTCTTACATCTGCTAAGTACATTTTCTGACCAAGCTCTAACAATCGGTAAAGCCGTTTATTTATCAATATTGTATATTGGAATTTGTAAAGCAACGTGACTTTGAAAGCATTGGTCCCAATACTTTGGATGAAAATTACGGGAAGGGAGTTGTTCAGACAAACTAGTCCACCCTGTTTGGTGGGTGTCATTAATAGGTTAAAATAACATTAAAATAAGTAATGTGAAAAGGTATGAGCCTTTACAATATGTTTCCAAATAAGTGTCTGTTACTGAATTCTGATAGAAAATAGTTAACTGTGAGGTATGTTCCTATAAAAACTAAACTATACAAAATTAATGTGAGAATTTAATTTAATTTCTTAAGTGAAGCTTATTAATTATAGAATGAAACTGGTACAGCAGAAATGTGTGAAAATATCTTGCAAAAGTTCGTGGCAAACAGGCAGAGTTCAATGGAACTCTGTAATCTTCGTCTTTTCATTCTTAATGGTCTTATAAAATACCTGACAACAATACTTTCCACAATGTAAGAATTTAATACCAATGTGTGATGCTTCTGTTACACGCCGCCTTTTAGGATTACATCTTAATAGAATAAGCTCCTCTTCTGAGGGTTCCCAAGGAAAAAAGCGTTGCTTAAGACCTAAAAGAATAAATAATTATAAAGAAAAAGATGACTAACATACTAATCAAAATAATTATAGAACGCCAAGTAAAATAAAACTATGACGCTGTTTAATATTAAACAATGTTCAATGTTCACACTACAGTATTTTTAGTCTTGATAAAGCAATATAATAATGATATATTTTAAAAACTAAAAGTTACAGAAAAAAAAGACACTTTGAAGGTTGATGATTAAACTTAAAGTACAATCAACCACAATAACATTACACAGAAAAAAATAGCCATGGTTACCAAGAATTATTGAAAATAAAAATTCAAATAGACCTATAAGTATTATAAAAAACAAAACTTATGGGACTGTTAAAACTGTGCACTGTTACAAGTTCTATTCCTCTGTTCTCTATGAAAAAAGAGGTAGTGCAGCAGAGTGCTATCACAATCTTTTTTTATATATACAGGTATAACTTGCTATGGTAAGGATGCCAGAAAGACAACAGGAAAAATTAACAATTTTGAACATCAATGGAGCCAGCAGCTAGACCAGTGATTATGGCAGGACTTTTACTCCCCCCCCCCCCCCCCCCCCCCACAATGATCAGGGCTGGTTACCCTTCAAAAACATTTTCAGTAATTAAAGCATAAATTTTCCTAATTAATCAGGTACATCTATTGTCTGTAACTTTTTTAAGAAATATATTTTTGAAGTATAAAGTGGATAAGTCAAATTTTGCATTAGATTAACTTAGATTAGAAAACGTAACAACATGATGATAATAGGCAATGCTGGGACATTGCATTAGATCATGTATAAAAAAAAGCACACTAGCCTGATGACATTGTAGAAAGCTGGCATTTTATTCTTGCTAATTCTTCAAGCTCTGAATCATATACATAGTCACCGCAGATAAAGCAAAAAATTGTTCCATATGAGACATCAATGGCTGCAATAATAGATAAATTGTGCCCATTAATACATAATCCTAATATATTAAAGCCCATGTGTGCACTTCTGTCTCTCTGTCCGCAAAATATTTTCACAGGCTATGATATCAGTATCTTCAGCGATATATGGAGAACTTGATACGGATGTTTGTTGAAAATAATATGTTAGATGTTTTAAATGTATAAAATAAATTTTATTCAAAGAAGAAAAAAAAACAAAGGCATATTCAAATGTAGAAAAGGGGGTCGGCGTGGTCGAGTCGGTAAAGCTCATGGTTGCTAACCGAAAAATCTTGAGTTCGAACCCTCGGGCAGATGAGGCTCGTTAGCTGGGGACAGCCACTCTTCTAGGAGAGACAACTCCAAAATCAAACAACTGCTGCCTTGTAGTTTGTTCTTGGTTGGACAAAGGCTATGGAAGCAAATCCAAAAAGAAAAGCAGGCTGAAATCGGAGTAAATGGCCTTAATGGCGCATAACCAGTTGACACGTAATCCTTAAATGTGATAGAAGCATGGTCGAGTCGGCAAAGCTCATGGTTGATAATTTTGAAAAAAGTCTCGAGTTCAAACCCTCTGGCAGATAAGGCTCGATCCCTCCCAACACTAAAAATTAAGAACGAAGAAGAAGAAGAAATGTCGAAAAACATTTTTAATTATGCAACAGGAAAAGTGTTTATAGAGCTGACAAGCACACAATAAACAATGACGTCACATGCCAGATGTTTACACTAGGGAACGAACACAACACTAATGACATCATCTTCCAATTTTAGAATAACAAGAAATGAACTATTTCTTAATGAATTATTTTTTTCAAATTTGATTTAGTTCTAGATCTAAACTCTATAAACCTACGTTTCAAGACATACGCTATCCCAGAAATGTATACAATTTTCTCGGTCATACATACAAATTACTTTAAAAAACAACATAATGACCATAGAATAGCCAGATTTTTAACGGAATCATTTGAGTCTCTTAATCTCTTAATCAGTGTGTGCATTTAATATGGTGTTCTGTTGACTAATAATGTATATAATTTGGTTTGAAATTTTCAAATCAGAATAGGTAGCCTATGTTATTTTAAATGTGTCGGATTTTTAGCTATTTAGTTATTTCTTTGTTTAGTCCCTAATATTGTTCAACGTGTTATAAAGCACATTTCGTTTTCACCAATAATTATTTTATAAAACAATGTTCTTAAACATGTATAACATTAAAATATACAGGACTATAATTCATGTGTAACGGGTACAGACAGCTAGTATTTAATGGAAACCAGCGAAAAAGCCTCAACGGTTCCATTAAATCATGTGCAGAGGTATTAAAATGAATGTATAGATCTATGTAAGCATAAAAATTTGATTGCAAAAAAAATGTGTCAAAACAATATTGACAGAGTGTTATTTCAATGCCTAAGTTCAGTAAAGATAGAGCAGTTTTAAATTTTAGCGTATGCATACCAGGTATATATACAAATGTGTATAAGCTCAATATCGGGGGAAAAAACTTCAATTAAAGCAGGAATGGAGGTTCTTAGGCGCCATTTAGTTTAAAATTATGGTGTGTGTATGTGTATATATTTATGTATATCTATAATATAAGCTGGCTTTAGAATCTAGAAACACAAAAGTAAAAACAACACGCCATTTACATGTCTTATTATAAATATTGGAGCAGGGTGTATTTATGTAACAAGTTAAATTAAAAATTTTTGATCATCAGACAAGTTTTTACTCTTTTGCATACGTCAACAAAAGAACGTGAAGAAAATATTAAAAACACACACATTGCTAAAACATATTAAACAGAATAAAACTAAGTTAAATATTTAATGATTATGCCTGGGGAGGAAATTTAAAAAGAAATTTAACTAACGCTAAATACACTATAGCTATTGAAGTATAACAATTTTATTTATTCCTACCGCATTAATTTATATATGTGTGTATATATATATATATATGTATATATATATATATATATATATATGTATATGCAACAGAACAGAACAAAACTAAACACAACACAAATGCCACACAAAACACACCACAAATAAAGACACAAACACAAAAGAAAACACAAACACAAAAGAAAACACAATGCAAACACAAACGAAAACATAAAAGACAAAACTCATAAATTTGCATTCACATTTTGCTAGTTATATTAATTGCAACAATAATTCTTTCATGGAGGTCCGCAGAATCTGCATTCACATTTTGCTAATTAAATTATTGCAACAATAGTTCCCTCATGTAGATCCGCAGAATTTGCATTCACATTTTGCTAATTATATTATTGCAACAATAATTCCTTCTTGGAGATCCGTAGATTTTGCATTCACATCTTTTTATTAGCGTGACTAGAATTTATTTTTAAATTACCTCCATTGAAAAATTACAAAACAGTTTAATTAATTCCTTTTTCCGAACCTATTATTATTAAAATGTATCCACTTTTTCCAGGTATCTTAACGAAAATAATATTTGACATTGATCCTTTTAATATGTTTTAGCAATGTGCATGTATTTAATTTTTTCTTAACGTTATGCGAAAGAGTAAAAACAGTGGCTACTCTAAAATAAATTTAAGTAGTTATATAAACAAACCCTACTCTATTACTTATGATGACACTGCGATGCAAGTAAAAAGCACATGTGATGAGTTTACTTTTATGGTTCCAAAATCTATACGAATGACTGACACACTACCAGCCAGCTTATATTATAGATGTATATATATGAGTGTGTGTATGTATATATGTGTAATTCCACCACTGAAAAGTTTAGCATTAATTTAAAACTATATCACAGCTCTTCTTTAAGCTATTGTGCACACAAAGAAACAAGATATTAAATTTACCTATTGGATGCTTTCTTTCATCTGAGTGTTCATGGATGTGTTTTCTTTCATAACAACCAAAGAAAATGCATGACAAACAAGCATGTAAACGAGGTTGAATATCATCACATGTTACACATTTGCAGATTTGAGCCTGTAATTTAAATATTGATTTTTAACAATGGAAAATTTTCCTTAGGTTAATATACTTACTAGCAGTCCTGGCCAGGCCACAAACTGGCCTCTGTGAAAAACCTATCTGTAAAGGACCATTACATGTGTGTTTATTAATCAGCATTACGAAATTATTCACCACAGCGTTTACACGATAGCCCAGGGTGCCAAATCAACCCCTTCCACGCGCCAGTTTCAGTTTAGTGAACAACTATAATACCCCAAGCTTAACTGCAAACAGAAAGGAGCAAACATAGAGAACATTTGATTTAGGAGCTGGCTTCTGTTATTGATTTTAAAAAATAATTTGTAAACAGTAAGTTTGGTGTATAAAATAAATTAAAGGCAGTATTTAAAATACCTACCACTTTGCACTTGATCAATCCCCACTAAATATGTAATTATTTTTTTCCCAACACCAAATAAGGTAATAAAATGTAAATCCCCCCTCCCGATGTAATTTTTTTTAAAGGGAAGTAATTGTGTTTTCCTAATTATCAAGGGACGTAATGAGAGCTAAAGGACTAAATGTAAATAATTTTCAGAAACAAATTAGAATTTTTGTGAAAGGTAATACATTTTTTTAAATTTTGTTTGATGGAAATGCCGACAATTATCACTATAAGTTTGAAAAATGAAAATTGTTTTACAACACCTTCAATATTAGTTTTTTAAATCATGAATTTAGACGATGAGCACTTAAGAATTGTTACACTATGATGATTTATTATCTATATATATAATTCTCTTCTTCAAAACAAGCTGTAAGCTCCCTACCACCCCCTTTTGAGCTGTGGTTCTCACTAGATAAATGTTTACATTCGTAGAGCCGGGGCGGCTATTAGGGGCAGATAATTTAGTTTGAAACCATTTTAAACTTAGGGGAGGTAACTAAGAGGAGGCTGCTTTCACGGGGGGGGGGGGGGGGGGGGTTAGGTGAAAGGAGGGTGGGGTTAGAATCGTCCTTAACGACCTACTGATAGTGTTTTAAAGCAAATTTTTTTCAGTGGCAGCATTGGTACTGTCGAATTCACAAATTATGAATTACTGAAAAGTAGAAAATAAAAGAACTAAATAGCGGCCTATGATATGCCACGGATCGGCTCGTATTCTTGTATTTCTTTGGAATCCGCGGTTTGCTGGCACATACAGAATTGAACTTTATATATTAGATAATGAAATCGCTATATAAACTATGGAAATACAAAATGAAAGTTTGGATGCTGATATGGAACAGAAGATCATGACATTTTCTGTTGCATCACTTTAGAAGGCAAATTTTTTTCTTTGTAATAAAGCACTATATGTTTGCAGTGTATTTTTGTTTAATATTTAAAAAAAAAACATTTTTAATTAATCATAAGATAAGGCTTAAAAAAATCTAATAAATATAAAACTTCTTGAAATTAAATGATGAATAAAAAGTAGGCCTAGGCCCTATATAAATAATTAAATAAATATTGATCTGCAGACTGAGCTTAATGTTGGGTCCGAACGGTGGCCATGGGTATAGGGACTTGGGTCCTCATAGTGGCCAGGGATATTAGGACCCAGGTCCCAATAGCCATTTCCATAATTAAATTCTAGCCCTAATTAAAATTAGCTAACAATAATACAGTCCATATACAATTTATAGCCTACCTTATAAATAGGCCTAGAATTTGCAATAGTCTACATACATTTATTTTTTCTAGATGAGTAGTCTCATAGTGCGGCCTATGATTATGATCTAGAATGTAGTGCATGTAGCCTACATCTTACTCATTTAGAAAAAATAAATCTTTGTAGACTATTGTTGTAGTAATAATACTGTAATAATACTAGGCCTATAAGTAACTTAATCTACAGTGGACTATTTTTCGTACTAGATGAAGATCTAGATCTAGGTGTGACAAACAAGGGTTTTTTTTACCTTTTTACGACGAATATCATCAGAAGAACAGGCAACAAAGTATGAATAAATACTTTGAAATGTATCTGTTCCTGTTGATACTTTATAATCCTGTAAATGCTGGCAACCATTGAAACTCATTTTCCAAATACTCAAACAAATCCAAACAGTTGAATAGAACTAGATCTAGATTAGATAAAAATCTAGATAGATCTCTTGATCTAGTAACTAGTTATTAGATGTCTAGTCCTAGATCTAGTAAGAGATCTAGAATCTTGATGGTACTGAAAATAAGTGAAATGTACTATTATTAGGGCCTAATCAGTTATTAATGTTTTAATGTAGGGCTAAAGTAGGGTAAAATCACGATATAGCGTCCTGAATAGCTCAGCAGTAAAAAAAATGTAAACAATAGACTACAGTCTGCAACACCGTTCCGAAACGCAAACCAGAAGTGTTTTATTTATACCGTAAATGCTGTAAGCGTTAGTTTATTCAGCGCTCTAATTTTTTAATGCTTGTTCAGCGCAGTCTTTTTTAATACAGAGCGTTTTTATAACTTTGTAAAAACTTTTCCTTTTATAATAGCCTGTTTAAATTAATTCATTGGGTATTTTTAGTTTAGTATTTACTTAACTTTGCTGCTGTATATTCTTTATTGTAATTATTTATTGTGTATTATTAATATTTTGTTTTAATATCATTTGTTTATCATGGCCGGCTGACCAAAAGCGGCAATTTTAATTGTACCGGCAAACGAGGTTATGCCTGTGTGCAATTGCAATATACGCACTGAAGTTTGGCGTCTGCAAACTCTGTGCCAACATTTGCAACCGTCTGACGCAGCATTGCAGTGGTGTGCTCGACGCAGGCTAATACAGAATTCTGTTCTGTGCATGTGGTACACGGCAACAACATTGCAGTTTTATTCTGTACCTACAGGGTATTGATGGCAAAAGATGGTCATGTGGTAGTTGCAGCTATCGCAGGTCTGAAGAGACCAGTCATTTTTAGCTCGCAGCCATCTGTAGATCAAGAAAATTGTTGTAATCATTTACTGTTGGGCACATGACAACCGCAAAAGTTTATTGCCCATGAAAGCGATGCTACAGAAAATTTTGTGGTTGACTGGTGCAACTACATGAGAGAAGAGTGTAGTAATTGGATGCAGCAGAACGGCACAGAAATCAGCGGGTTGGATTACCAGGGTGAGCATATCGTGGTAGAAATTGATGAATCCAAATATTTCCATCGGAAGTATGACCATGGACAATGGCGAGAAGGTCACTGGGTCTTTGGTGGTATTGAGAGGGAGAGTGGCAGGTGTTTTCTGACTGTGGTGCAGGACAGGTCAGCAGCCACGCTTCAGGCTTGCATTCAGCAGCACATCTTGCCTGGCACCCATATCATTTCGGATGGCTGGGCTGCATACGCCAACATTTCCCAGTTAGGACAGGGAATTTTTTAGCATTCTATCGTTGTCCATGAAGAAAATTTTGTGGACCCAGAGGACTCAGAAATTCACACAGAGAACATCGAGAACATGTGGATGTGGGCCAAGTGGAAGTTAAAAAGGCAGTTAGGCACCAGTCGACCCATATTTCCGTTGCATTTGCATATCGCAATAAGTTTTGACAAACAGATATGTTCACAAATTTTCTAGTCACCCTGACTGAAAATTATCCTTGAACAGACCTGAACAGATGTTTTTTGCTTTGCGCTTGTTTAATGATGTACAAATTATGCTGCCTTTTCATGTGATTTTTTGCTTTGTGCATGTTTGCTTATGTGCAAATTATGCTGCATTTTTATGTTGCTTTTTGCTTTGCGCATGTTTGCTGAAGTTTGCGCTTTTTTGTATTCATACTTCTCTAATGCCGCATTTTTTTTGTTGCATCTCACTTAATGCTTGGCATGCTTAAAAATGCTTGTATGCGTATTTTGCTAACGTACCGCTTTTTTCTTGCACGACTGGATATTTTTTTAATCATTTCTATATTCATACCATGTGTATGTTTGTGTGTGTGTATATATATATATATATATATATAAATATATATATATATATATATATATATATATATATATATATATATATATATATATATATATGTATATATATGTGTATATATATATATATATATATATATATATATATATATATATATATATATATATATATATGTATATATATATATATATATATATATATGTATATATATATATATATATATATATATATATAGATAGATATAGATATATATAGATATATATATATATATAGATAGATATAGATATATATAGATATATATAGATATATATAGATATATATATATAAAGTTGGATGGTTATATGGATAGATAGATGGATGACTGTATGGATTGTTGTATGTATAGATAAATAGATAGGATGAATGAATGTATGGATAGGTGGTTGTATGGATAGATATGTGGATGGATTGATGTTTGCATGGATAAATAGATGGGTGGATGGATTGCTGTATGGTTAGTTGGATGGTAAAATGATAGACGGTTATATGATTGGATGAATTGATTTTTGTTGCATGTTAAATAATATTGATCTGCTTATTAATTTTTTTTAATTGTATTTAAAGTTTTTATCAATAATTGGTTTAGTCATTACTAAAGTTTGAACTCTTTTTTGCTGCTATATAATGCTTTGCTTGTTTTTTTTAATTGCTAAGCTGTTCTAGTCATCACTAAAATTTTAGCTTTAATCATTTTTACTAATGTTTTGCTATAGTCATAACTAAAATTTTAACCTAATTTTTTGTATGCTATATAAAGGTTTACTAAACATCTAATTGTTTATATGGCTAAGTCAATTTTTTTCTAGCTATTATTTTAGTCATTTTAACACTGTTCTAGTCATCACTAAAGTTTGGCTCTAATCAATGCTACTTACTAATAATGTTTTGCTCTAGTCATAACTAAAATCTTAACCCAATATTTGTGTGTGCTAATAGGACTATATAATATTTTACAATAGGACTATCTAATATTTTACTAATTATTTTGATAAGTCAATTTTCTAATCTTTTTTATTTGGCTACTATTTTCTTTGTGTTAATAATAAACTTAAAACCAACTAGACGACTTTGTTATTTATATAATATATTGGTACTTTCAACTTTTTGGTTTTTTAGTTAACAATATTTGGTAAATTATTTAGGTCTATAGGCCTTATTTATAATTAATTGATTTGAGAATCTAGATTTATATCTAGAATCTAGATTTAGATCTGGTATTGTTGCTAAAAAATGAACATAAATTACTACACTTAATTAGGCCTGTAACTTAATTATATTATTATTTGCTAAATCTAAATTGATAGGCCTAAATTGTTTTATTTTCTATTTCCTTATTTTGATTAAACTTAAAACGTTAATTAGTACACTATTTTACTATTTAGGGTCTATATTTCAACGGTGAAATAAAATATGGTAACGAATGCTAACTAAACTCAACGAAAATCACCAGATTATTTACGACGCTATTATATTGTGATTTTACCCAATGTACTGAATGTAGACCTACATTAAGTACATTTAACATTAGTACATTGTAACATGAATACATATGATAATAGGAATAGGGCCTAAATAGATCTAGATCTAGTAAAACTAAATAGATCTAATACTAATTATTAGGCCTACTAAGTACTAACAAGTTAACAAGGGCTAGATCTAGACATAATCATAGTATTAAATTAACTAGAATTATTACTAGACCTAGATCTCTAGATCCAGTAGATCTAGATTTAGTCTAGACTCTAGATCTAGAAATTATCTAAATCTTAATTATTTCTAGATAAATCTAAATTGAGAACTATGAGTCTAAAGTCTAAACTAAGACAATCTCAGTACTTGAGTACTCAGTAGCTATTCTTCTAGGTTTTCTACTGTTTAGATCTCTAGAATACTCTAGAACTAATAGATCTATCAATCTAGCCTGAACTAGGCCCTAATAAAAAATAAATTATTAGGCCTAATGGCTAAGGCACCGCTAATTGCTAAGGTGTAGATCTATAACTACTATTCTAGATCTAGCTAGAGTCTAGATTTAGCTAGATCTAGATTTCTAGATCAAGATCTAATTCTAGGCCTAATCTAACTAATAGTAATAGATATATAGATTATTATAGATCTATCTAGATCTAGTCTGAACTTGGCCCTAATAAAAAAAAATTATTAGGCCTAATGGCTAAAGGTGTGTAGTCTGTACAATCTGCTGGTCTTGTAATGTGCGAAAAAGTTGCCTCATTGTATGTTAAGGCTTTATATAGATCTAGATCTAGTGTTCTAGACCAGGGTTTCCCAACCTTTTTTTACTCTAGAGCACATTCTAAAATATCTGTAGGGTGGCTGGCACCACCTATTTTTAATCGACAAACTCCTTCCATAACCTGTCATTTTCCCATATATTATAACAAGAACTATAACTATCTCCTCAATAATAATAGTTCATTAATAGATCATCGCTTATGAATACAATAAATTAGGCACCTCGCTTTTAGCCTGTTAATTTTTTTTTATAGAAAACTCCTAATTCGTGTTTTGTCTGACAAACATGTCTCTTATCTAACTGTCGCGACCCAAACAGGGCAGCAATCACAATGACAACAACGCAGTTCCAGGCGGGGAATGCTTTTTGCACATCACTCCATGTACACGCAGAAAACCCGAAGTGAGCCGGCGATCGCCGAAGCAATCAGAGTTATGTGCAGAGTTTCTTCCAGGCATCTCTTCTGGGTGGCAAAGCCCCCCCCCCCCAAAAAATTCTACCCCCCCCCAAAAAAAATTCTACCCCCCCCCCCCCCCCGAACATTTATATAGAAAATATATACTTTTAACAGTGTCCCCCCCCTCCCACCCAAAATCTCAAGTGCCCCCCAGAGAAAAAGTCTGGAAGAAACTCAGGTTATGTGCCTTGTGATTTGGCGCCTTCAGCGTTTATCGGATCAGTTTGTTCCATTTGTTCACTTCGGGTTTTCTGCATGTACAAGGTGTGATGTGCAAATGGCACTAGCCTTTCCAGGTTAGCGTAAATAGTTCAGTCTGGCTCACAGCTAGACAAGTTGGGACAAGTATCGAACATATTTAATAAACCTAGGCAGTCCAAAAAAAAAATTAAAACTGTTACAAATGAATAAAAATAAATCATATTTTAAAATAATGTTTACGAAAAAAATTAAATAGAGGCGGGCACATACGAATCGTTCAGCGGGCACTATGGCGCCCGCTGGCACAAAGTTGGGAACCTCTGTTCTAGACTAGATCTATATATTATTATAATATATTAGAAATTAGAATAGATCGACTTCTACGCTCAAGAGAAGATCTAGAATCTAGATTCTAGATTTCTAGAATCTATTCTAAATCTAGACTGTGATTAAATTTATTAGTATTAGTATTAATCTAGTTAGATTAGGCCTAGATCTAGATCTAGATCTAGAATCTAGACTAGATCTCTAGATCTAGTTAAATCTAGATCTAGACTCTAGCTAGATTTAGATCTAGAATCTAGTAGACTTTTTAGTAGTTATACTAGACACTAGTTAGTAGGCCTACTAGATCTAGATCTAGATCTAGATGTATTTATAATTTATAATATATATGTAGTATGTAGATCTACTAGATCTAGATCTATCTAGATCTAGTATTAGGCCAAGGCCAGCCTACTAGAACTAGAATAACTAGTAACTAGATCTAGTTGTTCTAGATAGATATATTATCTAGAATCTAGATCTAGATTTCTAGATTCTAGATCTAGATATCTAGATCTAGATATCTAGATCTAGAATTTTCTAGATCTATCGACTGTTATTCAGTAGCATTCAGTTATTTACTTTTGTTAGAGTTAATCTAAATTCATGACAGATTCTAAATCTGTAAAGTTTGATAGGCCTGCACTGTACTCTTTTTAGAGTACCACTGTACTCTTTTTAGAGTACTCTACACTTTCACACAATAAACTAAATCTAGATCTAGAGAATCTAGGTCATTCTAGGTCATGAAGACGGTCATCATATGTGCCGAACGGAACCAATATCGAAAATAGAATAAAAGATAAACGCCATAGATCTAGATAGATCTAGATCTAGACTCTAGGGTAAAACCTTAGTTTAGCGTCGTTTATTATTCCGGAATCGTATAGCAGTAAAAAAAAGTAAAACAATGCCAAAGTCTGTCACACACTTCCGGAATTCACCGGAAGTACTGTAAACCATACTTTATTTGGCGTCATCTTTTATTTTTATACAGAATGTTTAAAATTTGGATAGATTTTTTTTGTAATCATTTTTACATTTTGTAATCATTTTTACTATTTTCGTAATCTAGATTTTTTTACTTGGCATAGCAGCTAGATATCTAGCTAGATCTAATTAATTAATGGTCGCAAATCCGCTGTAAGCCAAAAACATTAAATTATAACATTTGACTTCATTAGCCTATTTATATTAATATATGTTGTTTTTTTGTTTTTTTGTTTTTTTTTAGATCTACTAATTTAAATCTACTATTATATTTATTCTTGTTTCCTTTTGTTGATTAAACTTTAAAAAATTAAAACAATTTACTACAATCGACTTTCAATTATTTATATTTCAATGGTCAAATAAACCAATGTTTACCGTAACTCTAGTTACCGAAACTCAACAAACATTACCCGATAATTTCCGACGCTAAACTAAGGTTTTACCGAATCTAGACTAGATTAATGGAATGTATTTTTGAAAACTTCTCAAAGTTTTAAAATGCACAAAAATCCACGCCTTTACTTTTAGATTTTAGTAATCTCACAATATTTGAATGTAGCGTCGGTTATTATTCCGGAATGGTACAATAGTAAAAAAAAAAAAAAAACCCAGTAAAACCATGGCGTAGTATGTCACGCCGTTCCGGAAACCTCCGAAAATACTGTAAACAATATTTTATTTGGAGCCATATTATTTTTAATCGTGCGGCGTCAAAACGGCCAATGACAAAACGGCCCAGTCAAAACGACCCCGACATATCAGCCCCGACAAATAGGCCCCGTCAAAATGACCCCGTCAAAATGGCCAGCGACATATGGACCCCGTCATATAGGCTCCCGACAAATAGGCTCCCGTTATATAGGCTCCCGACAAAAAGGCTCCTGTCATTTATTTTTTTCCACAAAACGGCCCCCGTCATTACGACTCCCGACAAATAGGCTCCCGCCATTTAGTTTCTCCATAAAACGGCCCCCGTCATTACGACTCCCGACAAATAGGCTAGCGTCATTTTGGCTCACGACAAAAAGGCTCCTGTCAATTTGACTCCAGACAAAAGGATCACTGACACAGTGGCGTAGCTACCGTATAGCTAGCGTAAGCAAGGCATAGGGGCCCAAGGCACATAGGGGCCCTTTTCCCTCATAAAAAATTAAAACTTTTACAATGGAATTTTAATATTTGTTACATATAAATAATTTTAAAATAGAAAAAAGGTTAAAAGCTCCAAAAAGCCCCCCCCCCCCCCCCACCGTTTCGGCAGTGGGATTCAGTGTGTGTCAAACAGAGCCCAATCGTTATAATAACACTACAGGCGATATCACTTTGTCGTGCAAGACATTGAGAGAATCAGCCTATAAATCAACTTTTTAGCAGTAGTAGGCTAACATAATCCTAATAGATAAATCCCCACGTTCGCACATCTCTCTCTCTCTCTCTTTCTCTGTCCGCAAAAAATTTTCGCCGGACATCACGTCAGAATCGGCAGCGATATATCGAGAACTTTTTACGGACTTTTGTTGAAAAAAATATGTTAGATGTTTTAAATGTATAACCACAAAATTATTTAAAGAAGAAAAATAAAAAATCAAGGCGTATTCGAATATAGAGTATAATAGATTGACGACAGAAGCCTGTAGTTGTATATAACACATTTAATGGGTCTAACTACCACGATGGTAACACACCAGAGAGGACGGAAGGAAGTACACAAGGGACATCACTCAAGATAACAATATTATAAATATAACTAATACAGAAGAGTGAGTTCCCTTGACCTCACAATTATTTCAATCTATTACATCCCTTTACCCTTAGAACACAATAACACATCTCTCAATCAGTGGCGGAACTAGAAAAAAAAGGCTCCCCCGCAAAAAAAAAATTTGGGACCCCCACTATATATATATATATATATATATATATATATATATATATATATATATATATATATATATATATATATACATACGTATATATAAGTAGTCCGCTTCTCTAAATTTTAAATAGTCTATTACCTGAGTATTTTAATCTACTTTATTGCAATGTATATAACCACTCTAAGATAATAACCACTATCAAGGTGCACGAAAAACATTATTTATGAAAAGAAAATTCATTGATTTTTTGGTCGGAATTGGGCCCCTAAACGTCGTGGGCCCCCCCGCATTGCGGGGTCTGGCGGCACTGTAGTTCCGCCCCTGCTCTCAATAGAACAATTGATAGTATCCTAAAATCACCAATTATATTGTAACATGAACACTATGGTAGATTACATCCTTACAAACAATGCACAATATGCTACAACATAATCAAAATACAAAACAATAATGTCAAAGTCCTTTTGACCTTTAGAATCATAGGTCTAACTTATTTGGGACCTTGATTGTCCTGCTTGACCTTCTCAGTGGCTTTTGATTTGGTGACTCAATATTCTGACCATCTGGATTCTCTATCTCAGGAGGTCTAGGATTTAAATCATTAACTCCAGAATTTACATTTTCTGACTCCAGACAACTTGGTTCACTCATATCAACAGAACTTGGTTGTGAAACAAACTGAGTTGGTGTGAACTGTTCAGATTTGGTGGGATTGATAGATTCACACTTATTATCTGCACAAGTTATTTTTAACTTTATAAGGCACAGGTCCTGTACATTGAACAATTTGACCTGGTATCCATTTTTCCTTTCTCCCATAATTTCTTAGATACACATTCTTATTAACACCAAATTCTCTTTCAATGAATGTTTGTCATGATTTAATGGAACTATTTTTGAATTGGCATCTGAAAGTATTATGCTATTATTCAGATCCTTAACTGACATAGATTTCTTTGATTGATCCATTTTCTCAGGTAATCTGATAGTGCTTTCATGGTAACCAAAAATACTGTTTAAAAGTAATATTCTGGACCATATCACTTTGCAACTGTGATCCAGTATTTGAAGTGGGTGTATTAAATGGCAAAAATCTTTTTTCTTTTCTTTTGATGTTACCCTTTTAGTTTCTGTAAGTGCTAATGATGTTAGCAAAGTTGTTTGATGATCACATTCCTTCTTACTAATGCATTCTCTTTAAAACATTTGAAATTGCCATATCACCATAATCATTTATTAAGTTACAAATACTTTGTTTAGGTAACTCTGACTGATAATGGACTGCATCTTCTCCATCTTTTATATTATCTTCACAAAGGGTTTTAATTTCTTATTTTATATGGCCTTAAGTCATCATTCACAGACTTTTCAGGCCAACCATTCTTACAGTACTCATATACTTTTATTAAGCACTCATCTTTTTGTGTTTCTCTTTTAATATCATTCACATTTATATTGGAGTTATCCATGATAGTGAAGAGAACAAATACATCTTCTGGTACATAGCTCAGGCTTTGGTTTTTTAAAGGTAATCTACTAAGACTATCTGCACAATTCTCAGATCCAGGTTTGTATTTCAATTCATAATTGTATGCAGTTAGTGTGATAGCCCATCTTTGAATTCTTGGTGAGGCATGCTCAGGTAGGGTTTTGTTTTCTCCAAATAAACCTAGCAATGGTTTATGATCTGTAATGATGGTGAACTTCCTACCAAACAGAAACTTATGAAATTTCTTAACACCAAAAATGATGCCTAAGCCTTCCCTATCTAACTGAGAATAATTTTTCTCAGCCTGGTTCAAAGATCTACTGGCAAAAGCAATGGGTCTGTCACCCTTCTCATCCATGTGGGACAAGACTGCTCCTACACCATCTGGTGAAGCATCACATGTTAATATAAGTCTTTTCCCTGGGTCATAGTGAGTTAGTAAGGTGTCAGAAGACAAAGCCTCTTTTGCTGTATTAAAAGCAGCTTCTTGTTGTTTACTCCAGTGCCAAGTTGCATTTTTCTGTAGCAGCTTGTACAGTGGTGATAGTTTACCAGACAGATTTCTTATGAACTTTGCATAGTAATTTATCAAGCCCAAAAAAGCTCTTAGTTGTTGGGTATTTTCAGGTTTGGGTGCTTCTTTAATAGCTTTTGTTTTCTCAGGTTGAGGTCTGATACCTTGCTTGCTTAATATATAACCAAGAAAACTAATTTCTGTCAACATGAATTGACATTTATCTTTGTTTATCTTTAAACCTTTTTCACCAACAATTGTCAATACTTTATCAAGTGTTTTAAGATGTTCAGTGTCATTCTTACCAGTTATGTACACATTGTCAAAGTAAACACAAACATTTGGAATATCCTTAAAAATACTGTCCATGACAGCTTGGAAAATTCCAGGGCTAGATGATATGCCAAAACATAGTCTTTCATATTGGTAGAGTCCTTTATGTGTGTTTATTGTCGTATAGACTTTTGAATCTGGATGCAGTTCTAGTTGAGTGTAAGCATGACTAAAGTCTAATTCAGTGAATTTGTCTCCTCCTGCCAAATTCAAAGAAATTTCCTCAATGTTAGGTATAGGGTACCTATTTAGCTCTATTTGCTTATTCAGTGTAGTTTTGTAGTCTCCACAAATTCTTATAGAACCATCCTTCTTTAACACTGGCACAATGGGCGTTGCCCAATCGGAATAGTCTACCTTCTTTATAATGCCAATAGATTCTAATCTGCTTAGCTCATTTTCAATTTTATTCCTCATTGCATAAGGTGGAACTCTAGCTTTGCAGTATCTTGGATTTGTGTCTTTAATGCTTAACTTCACTGTTCTATCATTTAGTAATCCATGATTACCAAAAACACATTTATTTTCAGATATTACTTTATCTAGTGAAGTAAGACTAGATTCTTTTACATTCTTCAATGAACAAATACTCTCCCAATTTAACTTAAGATCACTTAACCAGTTCCTACCTAGTAATGGCGGTCCATTTCCTTCAACCACAAGAAGAGGAAGTTTAACACTTTGACCATTATAACTTACATGAACCATACACTCTCCTATTACCGGAACATTGTCACCAGTGTATGTTGTTAGACACTTGTGACACGGCTGTAGAGACACTGATCCTCCTGTGACAGCGTCAAAATCTTTCTTTGTTATGACTGTTAGAGATGCTCCAGTGTCAAGTTGGAAGCTGATGCTCTTACCGTTGATATAAACTGGTACATTGATGGGAGCATGACTTATTGATTTCACAGAGAACAGGTTGAAATCCGGCTGCGAATCAGTTTGAGCATTTTCACAGGTAGAGTGGTTCATTGGTTGGGTTAGGTAGTCTTGGTGAGAGTTAACATAGTGCTGCCTTTGGTTGCGGTACTGTCTTGACTGGCTAGATTTAGCAACAGACGAAGACTTTGCAAAGCAGGCCTTGGCAATGTGACCTTGCTTACCGCACTTATAACAAGTTGCTAACTTGAACTTGCACCGATGAGATGCATGGGGACCTTTGCATCGATGACATTTTTGATAATTATTACTAGATTTAGATCTAGGATTTGAACGAGCAGGCTGTTTAGCATAAGTTGGAATGCTCTGATGGGGTTGATGTTTATTGACTAACCTGCTGTTTACTGCATGGATCCCTGAAGGCGTTAGAGATTTCGCCGCATCTGATGACTGCTGGATTGAAGTTGCAAGTTGTATTGCTTTTTCCAATTTTAGATCTGACTCGAGCAGCGACTTTCTTTGAATATCAGGGCTGTTTACACCTGTCACAAACTTTTCACATAGTCTGTCAGACAGCGTTTCTCCAAATTCACAGAATCTACTTAAATGACGTAAAGCAGCAACATATTCTGATATTGACTCGTTTGGTTGACGAGTCCTACTGTCAAATCTAGCTCGACATAGAAACTTTGATGGGGTAGGCGCATGGTGGTCTGTTAGCAATTTGCTCAGCTCGTTAAAGCTCTTGGTATCTGGACTAGCTGGTGCGCATAAGTCCTTTAGTAGCCTGAATTGTTGAGGCCCTATGACTGTTAACAAAATAGCTCTCTTTTTGGCTTCTATCGTCACGTTGTTAGCTTCTAGGTAAAAGCTTAACCTCTCTAGGTAATCTTGAATGATTTCATCATTCGCATCAAATTCTTTTATTTGGCCATACAGCGCCATAATTCTAGAAATAATTAGCTAATAAGCTCTAGCAAACCTCTTTTTTGCGTAAGTAGGTGCTCTTTTTAGTAGATGTTTATCCTTCGTCGCCAGTTATAATAGATTGACGACAGAAGCCTGTAGTTGTATATAACACATTTAATGGGTCTAACTACCACGATGGTAACACACCAGAGAGGACGGAAGGAAGTACACAAGGGACATCACTCAAGATAACAATATTATAAATATAACTAATACAGAAGAGTGAGTTCCCTTGACCTCACAATTATTTCAATCTATTACATAGAGAAACAGTATTATTTATGCAACCGGAAAAGCATTAATATATGTGAAAAAGAACGCATAAAACTGTGACGTCACTATTGCTTATACATTAACTAATGACGTCATCTGCCGTGTTTAGAATGAAAAGAAATGAACTATTTCATTCAAATTTGATTTAGATCTACGTACACTATGAAATGTATACAATACAATTTTTCCGGCCTAAACTCATAAAATTTATTTTATGTATTTGGATTCTAGATCTAGAGATTCTAGATCTAGACTAAATCTAAATCTACGCAATAACTAGATCTAGACGTAGACGCTAAGATCTAGATTTAGACTCTAACTTCTCTAAAATCAATACCAAAAATAAATTTCTATATTAGGACTAAACTATTTCAAGACTTATTTATTTAATACAAAATCTTTGTTTGGAACTGGCTAATTTGGGATAAAAAAATTAATTTGAAAGAATAGGCATATTCGCGTAAGTTAAGATTTTAAAATACGTGTTTCATTTTCCGTATTTCATCAGGTGCCTAAATAGCGGATATGTTAGTGTACTTTTAACAACGCAGGTGGTGCGGGTTCGTGACACACCAAGTCAACTTGGTTAATGTATTTTTTTTAATATACTCGGGCTAAACTTAAAAAAAAATTCTATTAGGAATCTAGATCTAGATTGTCGGGTGTCCGATAGGGCACTTCCCGGCGCCGCAGGCGCTTCAAATTTGGCATGATCTTGCCTTGGTGCGACAGAACACGGGGGCCGGTTGGCCGAAAAGTCTACGATGTGGGGGTCAAAACTGACCTCGACTGACCGGTACCTTATATGAGCTATAAATCGAAAAAAAATGTCCACGGAGGAACCTCTTCATAACTCTTGAGGTCGTAGACCGACCTTCGGGCGAATTAATTAAGCATTCAAATTCTCAATGTTTTCGAAAGCCTAAGCGAAGCTGGGCAGCATGCCTAGTATAGTATAAATACATAATCAGGACATACAAAATACAAAATGTTGCCTTAAGAATATTTATATATTAAAAAATATCCATCGCAAGTAGAAGTTGATCTCTTTCTTTACCCCTCTGTAGCCTATCGCAGAGGCGTAGCGAAGGCGGGGCAGGGGGTGCGGGTCGCAACGTGTGACACCATTTAGGGGGGGTGACACCAAAGGCAAAAAATTGCAAAATTTATAGAATGAAATGCCATTTTTCCAGATCCATTAGTTAAAGTAAAATAGTCTTCTAAGTACAAATCGAAAATTTTAGCAAGAGGGGAGGGGGGGGGGGGGGGGGGGGGTGACACCACGACGTAATCGTAAACTATAAAGAAAACAATGCTACATCCAACTGTATTATAAACAGACTGTAGATAAACATCGTTGCTATTAAGTATGCAGTGATTAAAGCTTATACACGTACGTGTACCAGTATGTGGCATATATATAAATTTTAGGCCTATGTAGGCCGACACACACACACACACACATATATATATATATATATATATATATATATATGTAAGCCCTGCTAAGGGGGGGGGGGGATACCTAAAATCTACCCTTCTAGGCTTATCTAACTAACTACCGTCCGGTCAGTGCAAGCCCGGCTAAACCCAGGCTGGTTAATAACCTAACCTTAGTCTAAATTAAAAACAAAAAAACTTTTAACAATTTAATAAAATTTATTGCATGGAACCAAAATTATATAAATAAAAAATAGATTAACAAAACAGAACTTTAACGTAACAAAACACTGTAACAAAACAAACTTTTTACAGCAAAGAAAACATTACGTTTGACCATTTGCTGGTGTTGCACCGACTTATGATGTCTAGGATGGTCCAGGCCCTGACACACAGAAACCTCCCTTCATCCATTCTCGACATCCAAAAGTCCACACCAAACAAAACACTACGTAAAACCACTACGTACAATACGTTACGTACAAAACAATACGTACACAACAAACTTTTTACACCAAACAAAACAATTCATATATAACGAAACACCCAGCCAAGTTGCCCAAGCAACCTCACTGGAAGGGGGGGGGGGAAGAGAAAAAGAAAAGGAAAACATAAGAAAAATGCATGGTAATGGCAGATATATACATAAATATATACACAAGTTCAAAATGCTACCTACTACTTCTATCTAGCTAAAGCCTCGAGTAAAACTAATCCTTACTATACAATTCTAAAAGCAATTCTAAAAAACAACTAACCACTGTCTAAAGAAGAACTAGTAACTTAAAAATAACGTGTAAACAAATTCATTGTAGAACCAATCTTTCCAACACAAGGAGCAGCCCGAAGCCATTGGTCTACATAAACAATATCCATATTGATAACATTAAAGTTAACACACTCCACTAAGGCCCCAATAAAGGCAGACACAAAGCAAGCGATACTCAACATGACGTTGCACGAAACAGCACACACATTAATTTTAAACAACCTAAAACTCGAGGCAACTAAAATATACTAATCTAATTACTGTCTAAAACAACTGACTATTGACTAAGCCAATCCTAGTCAATAACACATCATAAAACAATCAGGTAAATGCACACACGCATTCACACCAGTTTAGGAAACACTCCTAAACACACTGACCTAAACCACGTGGTCCGAAACACACGCCAAGGGTTTAGAAAACATTAAAAATACATTTTAATTCAAAATAACACACCACGTGCATACCAGACATGCCGATGCTCACTATCTCGTTTTAGACGAAAATGAAAGAAAACGAGAAACATCGGCAGTCGCATTCATACAAATCACATAAAGATAAAGTATAAAAAAACAAATACCTCCACGCGTGAGGTGCGCCACGCGCCCACACAGAAATCTGACCCGACCTACATCTCGCCGCGGGTCAAAAAAGGAAGAAAATCCTCCGAGCGGTCAATTTATACTGACCGCTTCGGGCGGAAGGGGGGGGGGACCCCGTGGCCGTTCCCCATTGGAACACCATGCACTCACAGATTCGAACAAAATAAATTAATACAAAAAAAATAATCCATTCACCCGCTCACATATATATATATATATATATATATATATATATATATATATATATATATATATATATATATATATATATATATATATGCTTTGTTTCCTGGGAGGGGGTGACAATACGAAGTGTCGCACAGGGTGACACCCGACCTAGCGACGCCACTGGCCTAAAGGCTGACGAAATGGCCCACTGATAATTTTTGCATAGGGGCCCAAAAATCCTAGCTACGCCACTGCACTGACAATACCGTTTCTGTAGAGACTAAGTCTCCCGGCAAAGCGGTCTTATTGAATATGACACCTGCCAGTGGGACCCCTTCATCAATATTCTTTAGAGTTAGCTTATCCAACACTCTTATGTAATACAACGTATGCATCTCTTGTTTGGCAGGCCTTATTTTTATATTAGTTAATCTATTATAAAATATAGTATGTTTTAATTTAAGGGTCATCTATCTATGACTTCCATAACTGAGTCGGTTATTATAGGCTGTTCCAACTTAGTGTGTGGGGAGAAGGGTCCACGCTGAACCTTCCTAACTGCAGTATGCTTGTAGGTTATCAAAACAAAATGCTGTTATCTTGTAAACATCATGTATATTGTATATCATACATTTACACTTCTGTGCTTGCTTTTAAGCAACAGCTTTTCTGTTGTAAATTAAACATTATCAAAACTTTAGGATTGGTGGAATTTAGCTGTTAAGGACTCGATTTGTTTGTGAATTAATGTTGGTTCATAAAAAACAATTTCATTCGGGCATTTAAAAGAGGTTATAGTGGTATTGGAGGTAGGACACAATGGTTACTTTTATGCCAATAGTGGTCATGCCATTCATTGGTCTTGAGCCAATATGTCGGGAGTCATTTTGTCAAAAGCCAATATGTCGGGAGCCCAATTGCCGGGAGACCATTTGTCTTGAGCCCTTATGTCGGGAGCCAATATGTCGGGAGCCGCTTTGTCGGGAGCCAATATGTCAGGAGCCTATTTGTCAGGGGTTAATATGTCGGGAGTTCATTTGTCGGGAGCCTAAATATCGGGAGCCCATTTGTCGGGAGCCTATATGTCGCAAGTCAATATGACGGAAGCCCATTTGACGGGAGCCAATAAGTCGGGGCCCTTTTGACGGGGCTATTTTGACTGGGTCGTTTTGTCGGGGGTCGATTTGACGGGGTCAAATTAACGGGGCCGTTTTGACGGGGGCGATTTGTCCAGGGCCGTTTTGACAGGGCTCGTGCCGCGTCAAAACGGCCAATGACAAAACGGCCCCGTCAATACGACCCCGACAAATCGGCCCCGTCAAAAGGGCCAGCGACATATGGACCCCGTCATATAGGCTGCCGACAAATAGGCTCCCGTCATATAGGCTTCCGACAAAAGGGCTCCAGTCAATAAGGCCCCTGTCATTTAGTTTTTTTGACAAAACGGCCCCCGTCATTACGACTCCCGATAAATAGGCTCCCGCCATTTAGTTTCTCCACAAAACGACCCCCTTCATTACGACTCCCGACAAATAGGTTCCCGTCATTTTGGCTCACGACAAATAGGCTCTTGTCAATTTGACTCCCGACAAAAAGACTTCTGTAGAGACTAAGTCTCCCGGCAAAACGGTCTCTATGAATATGACACCTGCCAGTGGGGCCCCTTCATCAATATTCTTTAGAGTTAGCTTATCTAACTATCTTTAGTAATACAACGTATGCATCTCTGGTTCGGCGGGCCTTATTTTTATAATAGTTTATCTATTATAAGAAATAGTATGTTTTAATTTAAGGGTCATCTATCTATGACTTAAATAAATGGGTCGATTATATGCTGTTCCAACTCAAGTGTGTGGGGAGAGGGGTCCACGCTGTACATCCCTAACTTCAGTATGCTTGTAGGTTATCAAAACAAAATGTCGTTATCTTGTAAACATCATTTTATCATACATTTACACTTCTGTGCTCGCCTTTAAGCAACAGATATTTTCTGTTGTAAATTAAACATTATCACAATTCTAGAATTGGTGGAATTTAGCTGTTAAGGGCTAGATTTGTTTGTGAATTGATGTTTGCTCATGAAACACAATTTCTTGCAGCCATTAAAAGAGGTTATAGTGGTAGTGGAGGTCAAACAAATGGTTACTTTTATGTCAATAGTGGTCATACGATTCGTTTGTCTGGAGCCAATATGTCGGGAGTAATTTTGTCGGGAGCCAATATATCGGGAGCCCTTTTGTCGGTAGCCAATATGTCGTGAGCCCTTATGACTGGTGCCAATAAGTCGGGAGCCGCTTTGTCGGGAGCCAATATGTCCTGAGCCTATTTGTAGGGAGCCAATATGCCGGGATATCTATATCTATATCTATATCTATATCTATATCTCTATCTCTATCTGTATCTCTATCTGTATCTGTATCTCTATCTCTATCTCTATCCACCCCATGCGAATGGCTATCTCTGTTTCTGTCAATGATCAGATCACTGAGTAACTAATAGATATACCCGCACTTCCTGTGTGGATCAGCCGACTAACTCAATGATAATTGCTCCGTCTCTAAGCAGTTTGAATCTATAAATAGAATAACAAAAGGAAGGAAACGAAATTTTAAACTGATTTCCGCCATTAAAAAAATAACATGAAACCTACAGTTCACGACACATCGCATAGGAATTTAAAATAAATATTAGGCCTATAGGTTTAATACATATTGCATAGAATATAGAAATTTAGATCTAGTGTTCTGGTTAGTAGTTATTTCATGTTTATTAGAATATAGTCTAGAATCTAATCATACGGCTGCATAAAAAGAAAGTTTGAAGGAAATAGAATAGGAATCTAGAGAAGCGGAGGTAAGAAGGTTAAATTAGTAATTTACATGATTTTTATTGTAGTTTCACTCTTTGTTAGGCCCAATTATTAAATCTTTAGATCAGAGGTCCAGCTTGATCATGTGTGGTATCTATTGTGGTGCATTGGAATGAAAAGCCCACATACTTAAATATAGAATCTAGTAGGCCTATACTATAACTGTACTGCCCTATACTTTAAATTTGTTCCCACAAGAAAAAAGCCTATTTACTATTAGGCCTATTAGTTATAATTTAATTAAATTGAAATATTTGATTATCTTTATAGTTTATAGTGAATGCATGCTAATGAGCATTATTCAAGCTGCTGTTATATTTAGGCTCATAGGCCTATATACTCTATAGCTTAGGCTATATACTATAGACTTATTTAGTTACTCCCTATTTCAATGTAGGCCCTACTTCCTTGTTATATATTATATACCAATATTGTGCATAAAACTTAAAGCATGCAAGCATACACAATAATAATTATCATTAGACCTATAGTAACTAAGACTCGTACTATTTAGTACTACTTTAATAGTACCTTTAAACTATTAGGCATAATGAAATAATGATTAATGATTTCAGTGTTTTCCGCCGAGGAAAGAGGTTGCAGGGAATTTAGAGACTAATCTTTGCCAACATACTGGATTTCTGGTGATGACAATAGCAGCAGATAGTATGCGGCTCAGTTAATACTAAAAACAATTGATTTTACTAATTAGTGGTAAGCTCTTTTTTAAAATAATATATTATAACATGGTATCGCAAAGGTTCAGGTTGTCCAATAAATGGTAATTAGAGTCAGGTTTAGGACTATAGTTTAATGCTTGGTTAGTAATATGCATCAAGTTGGGAAAGACATAGAAATGGAAATACATAGAATTTAATGTGTTCATTCGCAAACGTTACTATTTAAATTTTTTTTAGGCCTGCTATTTATTGCTGAATAATAAAATCACTATACTTATCCACTATATTATGTTTAAATAAAGTGAGTTTAGATCAGTCGAGTAAATAAATTTAATAGCAAGACATAGCTAAAATTTACAATGAATATATATATATATATATATATATATATATATATATATATATATATATATATATATATATATATATATATATATATATATATATATATATATATATATATATATATATAATTTGATTGCTATTTTATAAAAGTATGTAAATCACAGACCAAACATTACTTTGTATTGTGTCTACAACTTAACAAAAATGCTACTACTTTGATGGATTGCACTAAATAGGGTTAGCTTTAATTTAATAATTTGTGAGATATTCTTGCTAATCTATGTGTAAATTGCTTTTCAGGACTATGAGTGTGTGTTTGGCCATCCAGATTTCATAACTACAACTGATGTTCAATTACAAGGGATATTAATCAGTCTCCGTGGACTATACACTGTGCCTAGTTTCATCCTCAGGTAACTGTACTATAGGCATAACCCATTTTTTAAAGTAATTATTATAGCAAGAGATAGCATTGTATGTTATAATAAATATAATGGATTTTAATCCAAAATATTTTATTAATTATTGTCTTTTTTAAAATTCTAATAAATCAGTGAGTTGTACAACATAGAGGGTATTATATTTGAATGATAATTGAAACACATATTGTTATAGAGCTCAAAACTATGTGCTTATCTAATATAATTAATATCCTGAAACAGTTTTATTGAAGCATATTATTTCATACGAGAAAAATGGCCCGTTGAGGAAGGATACACCGGGCGCTAGCTTGATAGTGCTGTCTCTTTTCTCTAAACTAAAACCAACCCACCCCCCCCCCCACACACACCACCCCCACCCCACCCCACCCCACACACCACCCCCCACCCCCACCCCCCACCCCCCACACACACCACCCCCTCCACACACCGCCCCCCCCCCCACACACACCACCCCCCCACCCCTCCACCCCCCCCCCCCCCCCCAAAAAAAAACATGCCTACCGTCCCATTCAACGAAATATAATTATATACTTTTTCCAGTGTCCGCCCCTTCCCCGAAAATTCTACCCCCGCCCCCGAAAATTTCAAGTACCCCCACCCCTCTCTGGGGAGGAAAAAGTCTAAACTAAAACCACCCCACCCCCCACACACACCACCCCCCACCCCCCACACACACCACCCCCCCCACACCCCCCCCACCCCCCCCCCCCCCCCCCCAAAAAAAAACATGTCTACCGTCCCATTCAACGAAATATAATTATATACTTTTTCCAGTGTCCGCCCCCTCCCCGAGGGGGGGGGGGGGGGCTCAGACGTTCTTACGCGGGGGGTGGGGCTTCGCCCCTACCCGAAGAATTGTATGCAAGAAACTCTTCACGCAAACCATTAAGATTAGACAACATTTCCTTTTTATTCAATGTTAACGCGAAAATCAATGACGTCATATAACTTTGAGCACTCTCTGGGTTTGAGATTATTTTCTACTCTGTGCGCTAAATGTGTCGACGTCATATTTCGTTTTTCGAATTACTGTGCATGTTTTTAAATTGCTTGTGTTTTCTCTAGAGCGTTCTTGTCAGACAGAGCGTTCTTGTCAGATACACAGACAGCGAAACTATTAGTATTAATTTTACCACACAGAGACTGATGTGTAATCTTAAAGTAAAGACATCAAATCAAAGTAACAGCCATCAAGAGGGTAAATATTGATAGTCTACTTCATTAATCTTCAATATGAATGAACACAATTTTAAATCTATAATCTTTGCTGATAATGTTTGTTTCTTGTTATTCATCATGTTCAGTGCTTTATCTTTTCAAAGTAATTAGTTATAGTAAAGAAATATTAGAGATAGTAATATAAATTTGTAATTTATTTTTCTTGCAAGTTCCACAAAAGAAAGTATCAAAATATTTTGCCTTTATTTCATTTACAGAAAAACATTCAAAATCATATTGTGATACACAAGTCAAGCAAGTCTGACCAGCATTTTGATACAGTCCAAGAAAAAGCTGGATACTTGATTGGAAGGGTCGCACAAAAAACATGGGTTATCACTAGGGAAACAAGCTCGCAATACAGTTCACTGTTAGGACAGCAAGCCAAATACTTCTAAACTTATTTGAATCATTTTTGCTGTTTATTATAATTCATCCAATTGTCTTATTAAATATATAAATTTATATATATACACAATTCCTAATATAGAATTTCTAAAAATGTTTTATCATAATATTTAAAAATGAAACAAACATGTTCCCAGAACACAGCCACATAATGTCAACATGTTCCCAGAACACAGCCACATAATGTCAACATGTTCCCAGAAGACAGCCACATAATGTCAACATGTGCCCAGAAAAAACAAAATGGCAACATGTTCCCAGAACACACAAAATGGCAACATGTGCCGAGAACAATGCCCCTTACAGATGACATGTTCCCAGAACACAGCCCGTAGTTGGTCTGCCATAAAAAGTTAACAATACTTTACTTTTTCCTTAACAATTTTACAAGCACGTAATAAAGCCATAAATCTTTACTGTGGATATAGCCAATAAATAGGGTAACCTTCACTATATGCAATTTGTAGTTTTCAATGCCTGTCCCATGCATATTATTTAGCCTATTGTTTTGGGCCTTGCTTCATTTACTCAATAAATTATATAGGCATGAGAATTTTCATTTTAATCTGCAAAAGCTACATTCTGTACATTATTATTTTCAAACTACATCATATATTTTTCTCTTCTCTGATAAAAAATATTCCTCATATTGTTTGTGTCAAGTATTTTATTTTTATCTATGCAATGCTATATTCTTATTTTATAATAATTACTTTTATACAAATTCTTTTGAAAACTGTTCTTTATTGATTTGTATCATTTTCTTTATTTCTGAAAAATAAAACTTTGTTTGGGAATCCTTTTTTTTGTTTCAGTACAAATTAATAAACATAAATACCTACCAGGCTTAATATTCAGCAACATTAAACAATTAAGTAGGGCCTATTGTTAGTAATGGTAAATTATATACTAATTAATGTGATTTCTCCTGGCCACCTTGTTCTGAATACCTTCAACTGTGTCAATGTTGCTACCAACTCCAATAATTAAAACTGAAGCCATTTACTATTAAGTAAAACTTGGGTGTAATCCAAATCCACCCAGTTGCCGGGGCAAGGTACCAAACATGATGTCCAGTAGAGGGTTAAGAAAGTATCATTATTAAATCAATATTAAACCCCTCCTCGCCTACGCCATTGCTTGTATGCATATGGACGTTATCGGAATTTACTGTATTGCTTATAAGTCGAAAATGCGAAAAAGACACGTTTAACATTACTAGTTTGAAGAATAACATTCATGTTAGCCGAAACAGGTGTATTCTAAAGTTGTTAAAATTCATTTTATTGTTCATTACGATTATGGTGTCGTAAAATATAGGCCTATTTAAAAAAAAGCATAACTAAAAAGTGTTTAAACGCATTTTCTTCTTAGAAAAGCCGCACATGCATGATATCATTAACATTACGGCAAATCAAACCCTTGAAGAAGCCCCATCAACCATTCAATTATTACGATGGGCAACAAATAAAACGCCCGCATCAAGGTACAGTCCTTATGCTATCGACATTAGCTCAACCCCGGCAACTAACGTGTCCCAAAACCAAGAATTGAAATCTTGACCCATTATTCTGATTAATTAGTGGTTAAACATCTTTAGGCATCTGAAAACGTTAGTTTTTAATCTAGTGTACTCAAAAAGGAACAACATAAAGCTTTATGCCGCCTTAAAAACCCAATCCCATGTTACGCAAGGCGTCGATAGAGAAAAAATAAGGCTTTGAGTCAGAACAGGCAAGGGCTTAGATAACTGCCAAAATACCTAATCTGTAGACCCCACAAGTCTAGACGATATATTTGTGCCTCTGTTTTTAGACTTTCAGAACAAATGCATGTGATGTGGTCAGTAGGCACATAAAAGAGAAAAGTAGTTTTAATCTAGAGACTTCAAACATTTCTGAAGGACCGAATTTGAACTTGTAGGCCGTGGTGTCGATGCCAAAGTTTAGCGTCGTCCGCAAAGATAAGCTATCGTTATATCATCTCTATGCCCATATTGTGACAGATATTTACAAATGTGTCTAATATAGGACAGAATACATAGCTACTCAACAGAGATAAGCGCAATCACTTGTCCACGACTTAAGAAACCACTGTACTGCAAAACCCACCTAAATGGAAAATGTCTTAGATGTGTGTTTTAATACAAATGTGTACCTCGTCGCGAGTTAGGACCTGTAGGTAGTCTGTTACTACTCTATATCTAAAAACAATAAAAAGATAACGTGAATTTTATTTGTTCAATTTCTTGGTTAACTGTATTTGTTGCATCTTGTTCTATTTTGTTAATATTGATTAACCTAAAGGGTTCAAATGTAACAAAGAAAATTGTGACTAAGTTTCCGGGTGCGGGTATGCGGACACTAGTTAAAGTAGGCCCTATATATCTATTTATATTTATAGAAATGAAAGTATGTTTATCTGTTTGTCCTATATGAATTACTACATCTTTTTCATCGGATCGCCATAAAACTTTGTGAACAGAGTTTTTTCCAGGAATCTATTCGGAGGGGGGGGGGGGGGGAAGCAGAGACCCCCCCCACCCCCGAACGAAACGGAATTTTTTATAGAAAAAAATACTTTTAACAGTGTCCGCACGCCCCCACCCCGGAAAGATTTCGCCAGGGCGGCACCCTAGCAGGAAGCAGAAGCGTAGCAACCTATTCCGGCGCCCGGGGCGAACTATCAATTATGTGCCAACCCTATTCAAACGCTGGCAAAAAGGCGCCCATCCCTACATACACTCCCCTATATAAAATAATTGAGGATATCAGCCATGTATAAATCTGTTTTCTTAAATTTTACTGAAGAATGAGGATTTTTTTAAAAATTGTCTACCCCTTTTGGCGCCCCATTCGATCTGGGGTCTCTGACAGGAAGCAATGCAATTTTTCTCCATAAAAATAAAAGCCAGATGCAATTTGACACTGTTCGTACGAGAGTCATAAAATTTTGGGTAGTTGGTGAAAAGGGTTTCGAGAAAGAAAAAAATTCTTAAGTGTGGCACCCTGGGAGGGTTCGATTTTTCTAATTATACGATTATGAGCTCAGAATCCAGAGGGGAATCCAGAGGGGCTATCTCATCAATTGCGGTCATAGGTAATACTAGATTCAGCAGAGGCGCAGCGAGGGGGGCGGGGGGTACATATGTCCCCGGGCGCCAACTCTAGGGGCGCCAAAATGGTTGGAAAAATTTAAAAGCTCATTTTAGCTATAGTTTTGCATTATAAATATTTAAAAAATACGGGGGGGGGGGGGGCGCCAAATTGAAAGTTTGTCTCCGGCGGGAGGGGGGGGGGGGCGCCAAATTGAAAATTTGTCCCCAGGCGCCAGGAATGGTGCTACGCCTCTGAGATTCAGTGATAAAACTACACCAGGTTCATCCGCCAGCTCCCCGGCGGTTGAGTGGCCCAGAGCGGCCAAGACCCATCTCGGGCGACACTACGGTTTAGATGGGCTACTATAAATGTTCACTAAGTAGAATAATGAGCGCCCGCCGGCGCCCTGGCAGTTGGCGACAGCGAGCGCCCCGGGCTCTACAGAGAGTGCCTCCTTAAAGAGCACCCTACAATAGGGACACGGTGGCACACGACATTTTATAATTAAACCGAATTAGGGGCGCCCCTGCGGAAATATAACCAGTGGCTCCCTGGAGCGCCAAGGGACGCGTCTCTAACACATGGGCGGTCGCCAATGTGTGTTCTACCTCACTATTACAGAGGTTGATTAACGTACACTCAAGGCTTTCATACAGTGAGCCTTGGTGCGTCTAGGCGGCAGTGTGGACAAACCCGCGCCCCAAAAACGAATATGTGGGTTTGTTTGTTTAAGCATTATCAAAGATTTCATTCGTTTGTCATTCAAATTTGAGAAGTTAATGCTAATACCCCTGTGGTGGTTTCTACGAAAAAAAATTTGATTTGGTGGCGCCCTGGCAGGGTTCCATTTAGCTCCCCGGGTTTTCCCGTGAGTACTATGGTACCTTTGTTCGTTTTAATAATTGCGAAAAACTATGAATATGATGGGCTACTATAATCGCTCACTATACCGAGTGAGGCGCCTTCCTACCTAGGCCCACCTACCAACATACCTAACTCCCTGCCTATCTACCTACCTATCTACTAACCTGCCTGCGCTGCTGCCTGCCTACCTACTTTCCTACCTGCCGTTATTCCTGCCAAACTGCTTTCCTTCTACCCCGCCTGTCTGCCTACCTCACATCCTACTTTCACACACACATAAGTTCGTATGTATATATGTATGTACTAGTGTGCTCTAGGACTGTGTATTTTTACATTTCTGTTGTTAGGTAGGACTCAGTATAAAGAAGTTTCCTTTTTGTTTTTTTGACGTATCTGCCGCTAAAATAGTGTAGGTTTATTAATAAAAGAAAATTTTATTATGTATTTAAGTGTATATAATCATTTTCGTCAAGCCAATGTGTTCATAATCTTAAATTTAAAAACCCATGAAACTCGATAGCCAAAGATTTAGAATGAGAAATAATTTAATTTGCTATTTAACCAGAAACACCTATTCTAAGTATTGTAATGATATTTTTTAAAACAAATATACACAGATAGATTGTGTTCTTATATAATTATTTTAAAAGTCAACTGTATTTCACAACGAAAATCAAAACAAAATACATTCGAATAGAAACTGTCAAGGAGACTACACTTATATTTGTAGGATTAATAGTTTTTATTAAGTTTTTTTTTTATTATTAGAAGAAAGATTAATCATGTAGGTTCTATAAAAGATTACATTGCATTTAAAAAAAGATATTCGATAGGTTAAGAATGAGAAATAGTTTAAATTATTTATTATATTAATTAGTTGTTTTTTTTCAAATTAGTAAAAAGGCCTGTTTTAATTATTTAAAAAAAAAATCTTATTTTAATTAATAAACTATAAACGAATATTGAGATTCTATAATTTTAAAAAAATAGTTTAACTGTCCCTAAATAATTGTATCAATCACTGAGAAATTAATAAAATATCAAACAAAGATCTGTGGCAAATTTTAAAGCAACAGCCAATAGAGAAAGATATCAAGGCCCGTAAATGGGGATGGATCGGACACACGTTAAGAAAAGAAAAAGAAAACATCGCAAAACATACATTGGACTGGAATCCCCAGGGGAAAAGGAAGGTGGGACGGCCAAGAAAAACATGGAAGAGAACGGTTGAGGAAGAGGCGAAAACAGCTGGGCTCTCATGAGCACAGATTAGAGGAGCAGCCCAAAACCGAGTCCGCTGGAGATGTGTGGTTGCAGTCCTTTGCTCCCCAGGGGCCACAACGGAGTGATGATGATGATGATTTCAAAGACTTCAAGCTTTATCTTGATTCCTCTGTGCAATGTAGATCTAGAAAATGTGTTCACCCATTATACTAACATAGTCTTTATCCATGGTGTGAAATAAAATAATCTTGAACAGCCGGAAGGCCTTGCACTAAAAACTATGTTGGTCAATTCCTATTCCTCTCAAATAATAAAACATTCATGTGTTTTAGTTAACCACTTGCTGGACTAGCATCTGCTTACATCTTATGAATGTACATCATATAAATGTAGGCCTACAGCTTATGAATGTATATCAGAATAAAGTCTACCTCTTTACTTGTTCCGAACCAATCCCTTTATTCACTTTCTAAGTGTTCAATTTCAATTACATTAATACCTTCAACATCACGTAAATAAATAGATGAATAATTAGACAGTGACCAAAGAAATATGCAGTCTCTATTTCTGACAGAATTCTTTTGTGATAATCTTTACCCATCCTGTAAAAAAAA